TCGAGGGAGATTGACAGGGTTTCATTAAGCCTGTGCTGGTCACATTTCAACACCAAGTCAAGACAGGAATTAGAAATTAGATTCTGCATAAAGAAAATCTTATTATTATTATTTTCAAAACAATTAAAGGATAGTTCACTTTTGAAATTAATTTATTGGTATGTTTTAGCTTACCTTTAATGGAATCCAAGATGTAGGTGTCTTTGTTTCCGCAGTATTTCAATTTTTGATATGTTTAGGTCAAACCGTTCTTGTCTGTCAGTTCATGTAATGGAGGTCTATGGTCACCACTTTCAAAGAGCATGCACAGAGAAGTCAAAATTAAACATGATTAATGACTCGTAAATGTAAGTACACATTGATGGCCTAAGACACGAAATGAGTGGTTTGTGTGAGAAAACGAAACAGTATTTTATATCGTTTTACCTCTTGTAACCACAGCCACGTCCAAGTGATCTGAGGCCGCGGGCGCTTTGTGGCTGTGATTACAAGAGGGAAAATGATATAATACTGTTTGGTTTTCTCACACAAACCGCTCGTTTCATGCCTTAGGCGATCAATGTGTACTTACATTTACGAGTCATTAAATCATGTTTAATTTGGACTTGTCTGTGCATGCTCTTTGAGGTGGTGACCATAGACCTCCATTATATGACTGACAGACAAGAACGGTTTGACCTAAAAATATCAAAATTGAAAATACTGCGGAAACAAATACACCCACATCTTGGATGCCCTTGAGGTAAGCTAAAACATATGAAAAATTAATTTCAAAGTGAACTATCCCTTTAAGCACATTTCCTCTCAAATTCTCATTAATGTAATGTGAAATTATGCTTCAGACATTTAGGGTAGGATTTGTTGCACTGGGTTCAATTGATATTTTTTTAAGCCATTTGTTATAGGGTAATAGTAAAAAATGACAGTAATAAACTAATAAAATAAAAATAATAAAAAAAAATTTTATCATTCAGATTTTTTAATTATATCAATGAGACTATTGAAAATGATAATAATCTCAAAAGTAAAACAAATCCAACATAATTGTAACGAGATTTTTTGCGCAATACAGTAATGAGAACGATCATGTTTTCTTACATTATTGTAATGAGAATGCATTTTTCTTTCTTTTATTACACTATTGAGAATACGATTTTCTCCCTTGCATTATGATAATGAGATTTATTTTCCTGCATTACAGAAATTCGAATTTTTTTCCTGACATCGTGGTAATGACAATTAGACTTTCTTTTTTATTATTATTATGATAATAATAATAGGAGAGAGATTTTTTCTATTGCTTTATGGTAATTAGAAAAAGATTTTATATCTTGCCAGTCATAAAGCAAGGTATAAAATATGTTTCCCATCACCACAGTTATGATATTTTCTTACATTAACGTGATGGGAATTTGACAAAATGTGCTTAATTATGAAGAAAATAATGTTCTTAAAGATAGGCTTTGCTGATGCTTTCTTGACCTGATTATGTTATTGACAGGTTCCGTAAGATTCCTTCAAACGCTCGAGACGACTCAGGATGAGATCACTCACGTGATCAGTGCTGAGATTGCAACGGGCCTCATTCAGATCAGTTTGATACGGATCATACTCACATCTCTTGCATTTATTACATCTCTACAGCGTAACACATATCCAGTGGAAAACTCCACAAATATGAGACAGGACACAATGTAGCGCTATCAAGTTTGAGGGCAACAAGAAATGCATGCTTATTACATTATCAAGACTTGACAATGTGTATAAATAGGTTTATATTATTTCCAATAACTCCCCTCTTCTTCTATAGGCTCTCTCGCCCTTTCTGGAACGCCTATTTTTTATGGTCGTTCGGTTGGTAGAGGAGCGCCATGTTTACACTGCGTCCCAACACAAGAAATCAATGCAAAAATATGCGACCCCCCCCCCCCCCCCCCTCCCCCAAAATAAACACACATAGATTAATATTGGCAATACAACAACTAACGAATTCTCTACAGCCGCACTGGCAACATTTGTGTTGTGTTTAAATTTTGCACTTTTTTTCCATTTGACACTAAATACGATTTTCATTCGAATGCCTCAAACAGTTGGAATGTTTTGTTCTTTCTCATTTGACTTCCTTTGACACGGGCGTACTCACTCTCACAATAAATATTCATACAAGCATAAATATTACATGGCAGTCAAGTCTTCGGCACATCCAAGCGTGGTTTGAAGTGTTTCAGAGCACAGCTAAACACAATGGCTCTTTGTTCTATGGCTCATCATCACACTGCGCTAGCCTTTATTTGCACCATGTCTAGACATCACTCACGGGTTACATCATTCATTATTAGAAATGTAACATGATAGATGATTGAGTTTCTTTCGTCTATCTCACTCGCGTAATTTAAATAATATGTCTCGTATTGGCTGTGCAACTATTAATCGCATTCAAAATAAAAATTTGTGTTTACATAATATATGTGCGTGTAATTATTTTGTATACATAAATACACACATGCATGTTTACGTTTAAGAAATATTTGCATGTATATATATATTATGAATAAAACATGCATGTGTGTGTATATATACAAAATAATTATACGCAGTACACACATATATTATGCAAACACAAACTTTTATTTTGGATGTGATAAAAAAAAGGATTAGTTCACTTTTTAAAAAAACTTTTGCTGATAATTTACTCACCTCCATGTCATCCAAGATGTCTATGTCATTCTTTCTTCAGTCGAAAAGAAATTAAGGTTTTTGATGAAAACATTCCAGGATTTTTCTCCATATAATGGACTTCAATGGGAACCAAACGGTTCAAGGTCCAAAAGACAGTTTCAGTGCAAACCGTTCAAAGGGCTTTAAATGATTCCAGACGATGAATAAGGGTCTTATCAAGCGAAACGATCGCTTATTAAAAAAAAAAAAAAAAACAAAGTTTAAGTTTCAAAAGCTCAAATGGTCGCCTTGCTCTGTTCTGTGATGCGTGTTCGTGACTCTCCTGTTCGAACACGTTCATCAAAATGAACTAATCTTTTCCAGAGTCAACTCGTTCATTTCGAATGAACCAAATGACACGAAAAAAGATTCGTTCATTTTGATAAACGAGTCACGAACGCGCATCACACAACAGAGCAAGGCGACCATTTGAGCTTATAAAACTTAAACTTTGTTATTTATTTATTTATTTATTTTTAAATGAGCGATCGTTTCGCTTGATAAGACCCTCATTCATCGTCTGGAATCATTTAAAACCCTTTGAACAGTTTGCAGTTTGCACTGAAACTGTCTTTTGGACCATGAACCGTTTGGTTCCCATTGAAGTCCATTATATAGAGAAAAATCCTGGAATGTTTTCATCAAAAACCTTAATTTCTTTTCGACTGAAGAAAGAATGACATGGACATCTTGGATGACATGGGGGTGAGTAAATTATCAGCAAAAGTTTTTTTTTTTTTTTTTTAAAGTGAACTACTCCTTTAAGTTCTTATGCACAGTTGTGTACAACCATACAAGCACACATGAATTCGACCGAATCTAATAAAGGAGCGGTTCTAGATTTACTGTAAAGCTGGACACCACTTAAATAACATCATATTTACAGCATATTAATGAAGTAGTTGACTCAAAAGAATATCTGTTATTAATTACTCACACACAGTCATTCCATGTCATTCCACATCCACATTCAGTGAATAATGGCTTAGATATCAGTCTGTCCCTTACAAAAACTATTGAATGTCACGGATGGACTAGTTTAAAGATGATTTATGGTGCCTTTATGATGCTTGTAGTCCATTTTGGAGCTCGAATGCACAAAATGTTTTCACTGAATATAAAAAGCAGCGTGGACATTCTTCAAAACATCTCCAATGTTCTATAGCAGATACAGTAGGACGTCACACAGGTTATGAATAACATGGTGAGTCAATTATGAAAAGAATTAGAATTTTTAAATTTTCATTTCCAACTTTTTTTCCCTGCTTTCAGTCATGTGAGTTTATAAGAGCTTGATTTGGTGTTAAGACGACCTTAGTACCAGCTCAATTCATATGATATTAAAAGAAAGAGGAATTGTCATAGTCTCGAAAAACATTTTAAGAAACAATGTTGAAGAAAATGAGCTTTATCTGAGCTACCATGCGCACACACACACAGAGTTATGTAATCAGTGCATATACAGTAGAAATAAAGAGCATTTGGAAAAACTGTACAGATTTTGTTGAATGTTCATGCTGGCAGAGGCATTGAATTTCTTCAGATATTTGAATTATGTCGTTCACTCACACATACCGCACGCACAAACATGTAAACACTTTCCTGGACAGAATGTTCAAGAGAACGTTTGGCTACCAAAGATGAGTCTCCCGGATCTCTGAGATGATGTTACTGGCTTTCTTGAGGGCCTAAAAGAGGAGCAGTCAGAAAGAGAGAGCATTGGTAACAAAGGACACTGCTTACAAAAACATCTTGTCAATGTTGGGCTGAAACCTCGTATCTCCATATTATATATATGAAGAGTTCAGATGCAAAAGCCTCTAAATGCCAATTGAAATTTTCTTCTTTAATGATGATTTTTATCAAACTTGTATATTTAAGTTCAGTAATTTCACTTCAATAACAATTAATAGGTAATCATCATTGCCATTTAAGTGAAATCACTGAACTTAAATATACAAGCTTGATAAAAATGATCATTCTAGAAGAAAATTTCAAATATTTAACCAATGAAATGTCGATAAAACCTCATATCTCCACCATGCCTTTATTGAGCATGAAGTCCCGCACGCATTTTGGACCGTCTCTGCTTGTTTGCAATGCAAGCATAAAAAAACCCTGTTTGTTTGAATAAGTTGTTTTCTTTGCTCAAGACACAAAATGTCTATAAAGGCTAAAGTTTCATGTATTTGAGAAGCAGAGAAGAGTGTCTTATTCTAGTATTTGTCGTCAAGATATAGTCAGTAAACTGTCTTAAATAACCTGTGTAACACTTCCTCTTTTACAACATGAGATTTTGGCCGAAGGATAGGAAAAGGATACAGGACTTGTAATATGTTAGCAAACTCAAAAGCACTTGTGAACTGAAAGTCATAAACTTTAAAGCCAAGCTTCTAGGCTTTTACACACCATTGTTTATTGGATTGGAAGAGGTCTCTCGTTTTTTTCAAAAGTGGGACTACTCTTAACTTGACATGGCATCTCAAACTGCCCAAAACCGCCTGAATGTGCATTACTGTAGTGGCGGTGCTTCAGATGCGATTTATTTAAAGACAACTGAATTTTTGTGAAAGTATAAACAGCCTACTGACTAAAGTAGAGCATACTGTCAGATTACTAACTATTTATATATATATATATATATATATATATATATATATATATATATATATATATATATATACAGTATATATATATATAAGTGCTGTCAAACGATTAAAATATTTAATCGCGGTTAATCGCATTAATGTCATAGTTAACTCGCGATTAATTAATTATTTTTTTCTCAATTTAATGCTCATATCAACATGGAAAAGTGGATCAGCTTGCTTTGTGCAATTTTTTTTTAAACAACATTGGCATATATGGTGTTCAATTTCACACTAACGTTCTCACTTGGAGCAAATAATCTCTCACACAATGTAACACTGTCCATCAATAAAAGGGTGAAAGAAATACTGACAGGTCCTGATATTGACGAGGGGGCGGAGAATTCGCATCAGCTGTGTGTGTGTCTGCTTGGCCATCATCAAGCGGTGTTTCAGACTGGACGTGCTGTGATGATGATAGCTCAGTTCATGACGACAAAACACACAGATCACTTTGGTCTTGTCAGTGGAATTTGGCAACTTTTTAGTAAAGTAAAGTTTCCTTTCAGAATCTTATTGGCATCCATTTCGACGTCTCGCGCTCGTCATCCACTAAAAACATAACGCTAATCAACTATTTGGCCGGCTCGCAGACCCAAACAAGTGCAGCGTGCCTGTTTTGTTTCCCGTCTAGCTAGATCCGCTTACGCTTTGGTCGACGAAGCAACAAAACGCCCTCGCGCGGCGCAAGCCATTGAAATGAATGGGTTTCATAGCGCAGTGTGCGCATGCCGCATCCTGTTGCAAAAGCATATAAAAAAACAACAAAGTTTGCAAGGACAAAAAGACGGGCCGCCCCCCTAAAACAATGGTAGGGGCATGTCATTACTACATTTTTATTATTAATAAAAAAAAAAAGAGAAATTCTTAGAAATATCAAATTATACAAAAACATATCATCTGAGAATTAGCTGAAAACCAAAATGCTTTGCATTTATACTTGTGATTGCTCAAAAACTAAATCTCTGTAGCTCGTCTTGGCCCATTTGCAAAATGTGGTTCCTGTAATAAAACCTAGTATGTATTTATTATCTCTTCACACCTGCCTTATGACACACAACCCGTACCTCCAGCATCTGTGCAACCTCTGTGCGCTGCTGAGCGGTTTCCTGAGACTCGATGAGCAGTTCCTGTAGAAGACGCTGTTTGTAGAGCTGTCCGACCAGCTCACTCTGCAGATTCTCTTTCACGAAATTCACCAGGAAATGCATCACCGTCTTTGGCACACTGTGGATAGAAAAAAAAAAGATCAGATGCTCGTGGTCACTCAGTTTGTCTCCCACACACACACACACACAGGTGCTGACCTGTCCTGGATGCTCTTGCGCACGATCAGGAAGTAGCACTTGATGAGCCGTTGGATGACCTCGCAGTCCCTCTGCTCTCGTGTGCTTAGTTTGCGGGATATTGGCACGGCCTACAGAAAAAATATCCAAAGGTTGTTGTTCTTTCCTGGTTTTTCCTCAAATGAGCATGTACAGTTCTGCACTTTTGAGATAGCAAAGCCATACCGTGTCCAACAGGTTGACGGCTTTGGTGGGGCTTCCAAACCCAGGCACGGGGCCTTTCTCCTCTGACGGCATCTTCTCGTTCTTCCATCGCTTCCCTCCATCCCCTGCCTCGGCCTGCGAAAGAGATGATAAAACAAAGACTAATCCTGTGTGGATTTGAAGAGAGAGAGAGAGACCGACAGAGAGAGTTTTAGTACCTGCTGGCTGTTGACAGATGCAGACACTTGGGCAGCGTCTGTGAAATCAGGATGTTTGGTGTTTATGTAGGCCAACTCGATTGCAACTAGATTATGAACCTGAGAGGAAGTAAACACATTCCAAGAGTTAACATGATGACGCATTTTCAGAATCAGCCAAAAGTGTGCTCTGAATGTGACATGCGCTAAGGATTTTTGCTTTATGATATATGCGGTGTATAACACCAATATAGTGTTGGAGGTTTCACAATCTTCACTTATTTTACATTCCTTCAGTAAGAGCAGAGTGTGAAGGATGATTAGCAGAGCAATAGCACAGCTGTAAATCAAATATTGCAATCAACATGACATAATGGGAGACATATCAGAATTCAGAAGAGGGAAAATTGTTGTTGCACGTCTCACTGGCTCATCTGTGACCAGGACAGCGAGTCTTTGAGGTGTATCGAGAGCTGTGATAATGTCGGTATAGCACCATGTAGGACAAACCACATCCAACAGGAGTAACTGTCAATGCCAGAGGAAGCTGTCTGAAAAGGATGTCCAGGTACATTAAAGGGATGTCAGGTATATTAAAGGGATGTCCAGGTACATTAAAAGGATGTCCAGGTACATTAAAAGGATGTCCAGGTACATTAATGGGATGTCCAGGTACATTAAAGGGATGTCCAGGTACATTAAAGGGATGTCCAGGTACATTAAAGGGATGTCCAGGTACATTAAAAGGATGTCCAGGTACATTAAAGGGATGTCAGGTAAATTAAAGGGATGTCCAGGTACATTAAAGGGATGTCCAGGTACATTAAAAGGATGTCCAGGTACATTAAAAGGATGTCCAGGTACATTAATGGGATGTCCAGGTACATTAAAGGGATGTCCAGGTACATTAAAGGGATGTCAGGTACATTAAAGGGATGTCCAGGTACATTAAAGGGATGCCAGGTACATTAAAGGGATTTCCAGGTCCATTAAAGGGACGTCCAGGTACATTAAAGGGATGTCAGGTACATTAAAGGGATGTCAGGTACATTAAAGGGACGTCCAGGTACATTAAAGGGATGTCAGGTACATTAAAGGGATGTCCAGGTACATTAAAGGGATGTCCAGGTACATTAAAGGGATGTCGGGTACATTAAAGGGACGTCCAGGTACATTAAAAGGATGTCCAGGTACATTAAAAGGATGTCCAGGTACATTAATGGGATGTCCAGGTACATTAAAGGGATGTCCAGGTACATTAAAGGGATGTCCAGGTACATTAAAGGGATGTCCAGGTACATTAAAGGGATGTCCAGGTACATTAAAGGGATGTCCAGGTACATTAAAAGGATGTCCAGGTACATTAAAGGGATGTCAGGTAAATTAAAGGGATGTCCAGGTACATTAAAGGGATGTCCAGGTACATTAAAAGGATGTCCAGGTACATTAAAGGGATGTCCAGGTACATTAAATGATGTCAGGTACATTAAAGGGATGTCCAGGTACATTAAAGGGATGCCAGGTACATTAAAGGGATTTCCAGGTCCATTAAAGGGACGTCCAGGTACATTAAAGGGATGTCCAGGTACATTAAAGGGATGTCCAGGTACATTAAAGGGATGTCAGGTACATTAAAGGGATGTCCAGGTACATTAAAGGGATGTCTAGGTCCATTAAAGGGACGTCCAGGTACATTAAAGGGATGTCCAGGTACATTAAAGGGATGTCGGGTACATTAATGGGATGTCCAGGTACATTAAAGGGATGTCCAGGTACATTAAAAGGATGTCCAGGTACATTAAAGGGATGTCAGGTAAATTAAAGGGATGTCCAGGTACATTAAAGGGATGTCCAGGTACATTAAAAGGATGTCCAGGTACATTAAAGGGATGTCCAGGTACATTAAATGATGTCAGGTACATTAAAGGGATGTCCAGGTACATTAAAGGGATGCCAGGTACATTAAAGGGATTTCCAGGTCCATTAAAGGGACGTCCAGGTACATTAAAGGGATGTCCAGGTACATTAAAGGGATGTCCAGGTACATTAAAGGGATGTCAGGTACATTAAAGGGATGTCCAGGTACATTAAAGGGATGTCTAGGTCCATTAAAGGGACGTCCAGGTACATTAAAGGGATGTCCAGGTACATTAAAGGGATGTCGGGTACATTAATGGGATGTCCAGGTACATTAAAGGGACATCCAGGTACATTAAAGGGATGTAAGGTACATTAATGGGATGTCAGGTACATTAAAGGGATGTCCAGGTACATTAAAGAGATGTCAGAATCATGGTGTCAGCATGGCCTTGAGTACATTATTGCTTACATAAATTCAATACTAACGGATGCCAATATACTAACTGCATGAAACACATTTGGTACTGTATTGTTTCTGCTATTTTAGAAAAGCTTTTCATCATTTCCAAATACATTAATCTTGATGAGGTTCCTGGATAGTATAAAGTAGTGTAGGTGCAGCCAGACGCATATGTTCCTACCATCTCATTGGTAATGGGCAGACGTTTCCGGAGTAAGATGGTAACCACTTCCACTATTGAATCATGTAGTTTGGGAAACCGCAAAAGCTCCTTCGGACATACACAAACACAAACAGTACATACAGCAGGTTAGCTGTCAATTATTTAAAACATTTTAACACTTCCTATGTGAAAGAGGAAAGTATAACATTCTCCCAACACCTTTCCAAATATTATGAGCATCAAATCGGTCCCCTTCAGCACACGTTATGACATTAGACTTATGTGCATAATAGAGGAAAGTGAAAAGAATGTTTAATGTAAAACAAATGTCCACAGTGAAGGCAGCAGGACAGAGAAGATAAGAGCAGACTGAGGAGAGAATCCTAATGCCGGCTGTCCTGAGCCTCTGTGTGTCAATCTGTGAAGACTGTGACTTTCACTCTCCTCTTCACAGTTCAATTTTGTAGAAATTCTGAGCTATAAGGGCTTGTCAGGGAAAACAGAAATGTCTTAATCGTTTGAAATAAGAGTTTGACGTGCAGCACTATGCAGACACACTGTAATATTCAGGCCGCATCTTCCTCCATTGGTCACTCAGAACATTTATGGAAATTGAGCCACAGAATGAGGCATTTAAAAATCATCACATTATAGATGGCACAACAGCATTAGCATCTAACTAGGCTGGGGTGCATTTCCCACACAATGACGTAACTCACTGCTTATCCGTCATAGTATGATGCATCATTGTAGAAAATTAACTAGTTTGTTTCCTGAAAATGGTTTGAACCACGTTAGTCCTATTAGACGTGATATTGTACAAAAAACAGTTAACAACTTACAGTAAACAGTTGAGAAAGAAAACACATGTGCATCAGTAGATTGGATCTGTGCATTAGCTCTTAAAGTGACAGCAGCCTAATATTCCTACTGCTGTGTTTTTAATGTTAATCAAACAACAAAAAGACAAAGACCACTCACTTCTCTAAATAACTTTTGTAACTTTAACCCTCAGGTGCCCTTCGTTTCGGAGTCACACTTGTTATCTTCCCGGTCAAAAGTGACCGGACACCTAAAAATTTAATTTCCTCCATCCCAGTAAAACCAATGCAATTTATTTTTGTTCTATAATATTTATTCTTTGTAATTTAGTATTTTGAGACAATTTAATTGAATTTATTAATATTTATGCAATATTTATGGTCTATTTTGTCATGGAAAATATATATATTTTTAAAAAAATATATATTATGTTTTTCAAAAAAATATTAATGCAGTATTATAGTTTAATATAGAGTCTAGGCCTTCAGAGAAAAAAAAATATTTTTTGAGGAAAATTAGCACCATCTGGTTACAGTATATAGAGAAAAAGCGTAGAATCATGGTGTAGATTCTAGATGACATGTACAGCTCTCCATGGAGAAGCATATGAATTCCCCAGATGTTTATGAACACATTTTTTTTTTGATGGATTTGAATATATAATGGAAACAATCTCAAAAACGATTTTTTATAAAAAAAAATTAAAAAATAAATAAATAAATAAATACATTTTTTTTTGTCAATTTCCCATTCATTTCCTATGGGGGTCATTTTTGACCAAAAACCACAAGTGTGACTATTTTTTTTAAGACCACTTAGCATGCTCAGATTATGACCTTAATTTTTTGTGTGTTCACATACATAATGCCATAAAAGTCACCAAGTTTCGTAACATTCAGATGAAGCTGTGATTTTTAAAAATTCAAAACATGCTTTTTGTAATCAAAATGTATTGGTGTGTATGTGTATAAAAGTGTGTTTGTATGTGTGTGTGTGTGGGTGGGTTTGTCTGTTTTGCACTCTAGATGTTGTAGAGCGTCACCCCTTTCCTGCGGTGTACTCTTTTTTAGAATTGTGGCCGATTTGTAGATTGCACGTACAAAAATTCCGAGAATTTTTTTTTTTGTCAATTTCCCATTCATTTCCTATGGGTCGGTCATTTTTGACCGAAGACCCATTTTTGACCGTGACTATTTTTTTTACGACCACTTAGCATGCTCGGATCATGACCTCGTTTTTTTTTTGTATTCACATACCCAATGCCATAAAACTCACCAAGTTTCGTAACATTCCGATGAAGTCGTGATTTTTAGAAATTCAAAACAGAAAATTTTTTTGGTCAGAAATGACCGAAGAGCACCTGAATGTTAACTATGTTGGTAATGTCAAAATATGTGATCATATTTGGCTTATGGTGCTTTTGGGAAATGCTTCCCTGCACAAAATGCATGTATGTATGGATGGATGGATATATTACTTTATGCAAGACTTTATTCCTAAGTGAGAAATACTTTTAGGGCTTGACAGTTTACGAAACTTTTGGGTGTTTATACTTGGATTTACTCCTTATAAGAACCAACTCAAACCATAAAGTGAACCGTAAAGTTTTAAAAAAATATATCTCTCTGGGATTTCATAGGCCATAATCAATTTGTTTTTGAGCAATTCAATATGACTATAAAATAATAATTATTATGATTTTGTGATTATTAAATATATTAAACAAAATAAGAAATATATTGTCATAATGCTATTGTACTGTTAAATAGATTAATACAATTAATTTATTTCACAGTAAACTTAAAATACTTACATGTACGTCGCACATTTTTCAAATGTTAGATCATCAAGCATTTATTTCGACTGGTTGCCGCCGGCAAACAAATAAATAAGCTAGCAGTGTGAAGACACTGTATATTCATTTAGACGTGTGCAGCTCACAGCGTCTCAGAATGGCTTGATTCACAGCTGTTCTGAGACTGAAACACTGTAACATGAACTACACAAGTGTAAATAGCACGATTCACTCTACCAGCGCTAGCACATACGTTTACTTAAATCCCAGCCTCCTGCGCAATTTGTCAATCGGACTAAGCCATGTTGCATTTTTCTCCCGATATTCTGCAAAGCCCTTCTAACTACCCAATTAATGTATATGTGTAAAGCACTGACAGGAGAGTTAAGTTTTAAGATTTTAAGACTGGCTACACTACCTAATATTCCATTTCCTGTTTTTTTTTTTTCTGCATCAAATATTCAAAATCAGTGAATCACCTGTGTGCTGTAGGCCGAGCAGTGCTGGATGATCCTCTGAAGCTCCTCGTGTACGAGCTCCACACAGCGCATACTGGGCTCCTCCAGTCTCTTGATCTGTTTCTTCACCAGCAGCTCAAAGCTGATCTCAGGAACAAACAGCGCTGGCCGAGGACCCTACATCCATCACAACAGCCAAACACATTCAAAACACATTTAGTGTTTCCACAACGTCTGACCAATGATTTTACATTGCTTTTCCAAGCTATTCTAATAGATAAGGTTTAATTTAATAGTGATTGCACTCACAAAGAACTATTTATATTAGAAGTAATATTTTAGATTTAAGCAAAAAAAAAATATATATATATATATATATATATATATATACATATACGCTACCAGTCATCATTTAGAAGGTTCTGAAAGAAGTCTCACCAAGGCTGCATTTATTTAATTAAAATTTCTATAAAAACAGTATTGTGAAATATATTTTACAGTTTAAAATAACCAAAACAGCTTAGTATTTTTGTGGAAACCATGATACATTATTTTCATTATTCTCAATGAATATAATTTATTTGAAATAGAAATCTTTTGTAACATTACAAATGTCTTTACTGCCACATTTGATCAATTTGATGCATCCTTATCAATAAGTATAATGAATGAATGTATTAATGAACTACTTTTTTTACTCTTATTTACCCCAAACTTCTAAATGCGAGTGTATCATGCTTTTTTTGACAAAAATATTAAGTAGCAAAAACTGTTTTGAACACTGATAACATGGCCTAAAATAACACTTGCCAAGCGCCAAATGCGTGTAAAAAAAAACGTTGTCGGCAAGTATATTAAACAGTTTCTATCACCAATGACACTTGGGAGAGTTGACGCACCAATTTGTCAATTTTTAATATTCAAGCGCAAAAAGAAGCGGAAGGAAACTCAATTCGTTACTTGTTACCGAAGCGTGTGCCCAGAAATTCATGAATACTGTATTGAGCCCGCTTTAACGTATTGCGCTTGAACAGATAAATTCAAACAAAAAGATGTCAAAAGGTCCATCTTGGCAAGTATTCTCATAAACATATTCAGTTATATCTTAAGTGAGAAAGAAAACACATGTGCATCAGTACATTGGATCTGTGCATTAGCTCTTAAAGTGACAGCAGCCTAATATTCCTACTGCTGTGTTTTTAATGTTAATCAAACAACAAAAAGACGAAGATCCCTCACTTCTCTAAATAACTTTTGTAACTTTAACCCTCAGGTGCTCTTCGTTTCGGAGTCACACTTGTTATCTTCCCGGTCAAAAGTGACCAGACGCCTAAAAATTAAATTTCCTCCATCCCAGTAAAACCAATGCAATTTATTTTTGTTCTATAATATTTATTCTTTGTAATTTAGTATTTTTAAACAATTTGATTGAATTTATTAATATTTATGGTCTATTTTTGCCATGGAAAAATATATGTATTTTTCTATATATATTATTTTTTTCCAAAAATTATTAAATGCAGTATTTTAGTTTAATATAGAGTCTAGGCCTTCAGAAAAAAAATATATATTTTTGAAGAAAATTAGCACCCTCTGGTTACAGTATAGAGAAAAAGCATAAAATCATGGTGTAACCACTAGATGGCATGCACAGCTCTCTATGGAGGAGCATGTGAATTCCCCAGATGTTTATGAACAAATTTTTTTTTTGTGGATTTGAATATATAGTTAAAAACAATCTCAAAAACGATTTTTTTAATTAAAAAAATGTAAAAAAAAAAAAAAAAAAAAAAAAAAAAAAGATTTTTTTTTTTTGTCAATTTCCCATTCATTTCCTATGGAGGTCATTTTTGACCAAAGACCACAAGTGTGACTATTTTTTTAAGACCACTTAGCATGCTCAGATCATGACCTCAATTTTTTTGTGTGTTCACATACATAATGCCATAAAAGTCACCAAGTTTCGTTACATTGCGATGAAGCTGTGATTTTGAAAAATTCAAAACATACTTTTTGTAATCAAAATTTATTAGTGTGTATGTGTATAAAAGTGTGTTTGTATGTGTGTGTGTGTGGGTGGGTTTGTCTGTTTTGCACTCTAGATGTTGTAGAGTGTCACCCCTTTCCTGCGATGTACTTTTTTTTAGAATTGTGGCCAATTTGTAGATTGCACGTACAAAAATTCAGAGAATTTACATAATGGCATAAAAGTCACCAAGTTTCATAACATTCCGATGAAGCTGTGATTTTTAGAAATTCAAAACAGAAAATTTTTCGGTCAGAAATGACTGAAGAGCACCTGAGGGTTAATAAGGATTAATCTATTTTTCATGGCTGGTAAAAAAATATTTACTGATAACCAGAAATGTTTCTTGAGCAGCAAATCAGCATATTAGACTGATTTATCAAGGATCATGTGACACCGAAGACTGTAGTGATGATGCTGAAAATTCAGCTTTGCATCACAGAAATAAATTTTAAAATAAATTTCAAATAGAAAATTTTAATTTAAATTGCAATAATATTTTACAATACGGTTTTACTTTATTCTTGATTAAATAAATGCAGTCGAGCATAAGAGACTTTTAATCAGTAGTAAATAACAATAGATTTTTCAAAGACTTTCCAATTAATTTTAAATATATTATTTATTAAGAAATGATTTTATTCATTTTTAAGGTTTATTTAACATTTGGAGGCTTGGAATTCACACTTTTACAATTCTAGGTTTTCCGTGACTGTGGGAACATTAAAAAAGCGATCCGAAACAGCATTTATTTGCTCTTTCTAAAACTCTTCATGTCAATCTTATAAAAATAATCATTTAGGCAATTCGGTTAGGTGACGCTTATAGTGTAGAAAATACACAGTTTATTTTTAAGAAAGTGAGCAAAGTACTGTATATGCTTATCTATTAACACACACATGCATGCATGCATACCGTAGCGTTTCGAATAGCTGTGAGAATATCTAGCTCAGTGAGTCCTCCCAGTGGGTCAATTGACTGCAGGGTTCTTCCAAATGTCTCGTGGAATATATAACAGATCCGAGCTCCTCCACACCTACAATGAACAAATGCTCACACAGTCAGTCAGTCAATCCATGAAAATGTAAAATCATGCAGCACTTTTGGACATCATCACAGCCTTGTTGGCACATTCACACAGGCCTGGAGTCATACTCAACCGTCCAGCCAGAAAACGTCAATACGAGGCACTTAATTAATCGATAGCTGGTGTGGACTTAGCCAGATATGAGAGATGAACAGCATTTCATCCAACAGTGAACAGGGTGTAAATAAGGAGTTGGGCAGACTTGAGGATTATCCGTCTGTCAAATTCAGCCAAGCAGACGAAGTAAACATGGTGTGCTTGATATCTGTCAAGAGTTTTAGTGTGAAAATGACAGACTGTGACGCTGCTGAAGTCACTGAAAGAATGATTCAACAGGAATGTAGCCCCGGTAATGACAATATGTCAAACTTGATAACTTGGTGCCTGTGGTAAGTGGCTCCACAGATCACAGTTAGGATTTTTGAGTTCTCCAAGATCACAAGCTCAAACCTAATTGGTTGGATTTGTGCAATTTCTTTGAGTCTACCGTTGTATTGAAGTTAAAAATAAATGGCCAATGCTTACTTTTAATTGGGGCTTCAAAAAAAAAAAGACCTTTTCAAATTCAAACCAAAAACGACACGATTGTAAACAAAGCTCAGAAAGAAGGAAACATTAACATATATCCTGCTGGATCTGTCTGCTGCCTTTGACACAGTTAACCACCAGATCCTCCTATCAATCCTAAAGTTGAAGGGCATCTCGGGAACCGGACTCCAATGGTTCAAGTCTAACCTCTAAGGTACATCCTTTAGGGTGTCGTGGAGGGGTGTGTGGTGTCTAATGCTGCGTTCACGTGCTATGGAAAGTAGGATTTTTTTCCACTTGTGAACTGGTATTTACCAGTGTGTTGCGTTCAAGTGCTTTTTTTGTCATAATGTGGTTAAAAGATGGAGATCCAGAACTGTTAAGGCCATTGCACACTGATTACAAAATTTTCGGATGCGTATTTTCGTGTCCGTCAGCCTAAAAATTCGTCACGCATAGAAACCTTGCACACCGAGTCCGTTGCGTATTTGTTAAACCTTTGCGGGAAAAAACGCAAAAATACCAAATGGATTCGTCAAGCAGTGAGGATGATTTTTGCCCTCTCTCTTATTAAAAAGAGAAGAAAGAGAAAACATTACGTCCATCCAATCCTGAAATTGCGCCGAGAGGAAGGAGAGTTCCTTATTAAGGAGTTGCGAATTTATCCTGAGCGATTCAAAATTTACCTCAGAATGTCAGTGGGACAGTTTGATGCTTTGCTAGCGATTCTGGAGCCACATATTAAAAACAAGACCACCAATTTCCGTGAACCAATCGATTCTGAACGGAGACTGGCAGTGTGTCTGGTATGGACCAGGTATGGACACACACACACCCGCGCGCGGCCCGGTGGAAGCGCCGGGCAGACAGAACAGCTAGGCTGTTATTATTGTGTATATATTGTGCCCAAATAATACATTAGTTATCGAATAGGCTGCTCGATCACACCTTATTCGATCCTGAAATTTCAATCTGATTGAAAGGGGAGGTTTATTCATTTCATAATCCAATATAGAGAAGAGAACATAAACACTTGATCGAATTGAAAACCGAAACTGAAAGCACGGCGCATATGTGCAATGATTTGAGGACGAGCTCCCCCGGCCCTGAATTGTCAAAAGACCTCTCAAAATGCTGGCTCTGGATGCGAAAAACGCAGAAAATCGAACCCGATCCAATTCATTTCATGACGGACGAAAGTTTCGGAGGCGGTGTGCAAGCGTGACTGACATAACGTGAGGTCGAATTTTTTTTTTAACGTGCGAAAATTTCGGATGCGAATTTCGGACTCAGTGTGCAATGGCCTTTATTTAGCTAAAACTATTTTAGATTGTTTAAGTCATCTGCAACAGCAAGAAAATGATTTATCTATAAGTATAAAATACCACGTGTGCATTTTCCACGTCGGCTTTTGGTATTTACCATAATTACTAGAGGTCGACCGATTCATCGGATTTGCCGATTAATCGGCACCGATAGTTGATTGGTGGAACTATCGTTATCGGCAAAAATCCGCACCGATAGTTATTTCCTGGTTTCGTCCGTTGCTGGGGCGGCTGAGAAGTGCGCGCTGTCATTCATTACTCAGTACGAGAGAGCTGAGAAGGGTCTGCTGGCATCATGCAGTACAAGAGCGGCCTCTAGAGGTGTCATAAAAACTATCAACTGATGCCTCGTGTTGTTTTTTTCGACACGTGACACTGCGAGCTGCACTGAGAGCGCGCGCTGTGTGGAGAGCGGAGATCGCTGACATCTGATGCGCGTGCTAAAGCACGGACAGCGAAAAGGCATGTACATGTACACAGGACATTTTGTCATATCATTATAAACTGATGAATTTGTTGACTAAATGCTGCATTAGTAGAGAAAGAACCGCACAATAGTATGTTTGTTTGCCTTCGAGAGTGGCTGAGAGGACGCACATTAGTAGTACCTCAAGCGGTTAAAACACGGACACAAAAACACACCTAAGTCCGACCCGAATGTTTAATGTCACAAATTGTTCCCATCTATTTGGATTAGTTTATATCCAGCTGGTCACTTTGATGCATTCATTATGCAGCGACGTTGCATATAAGCTAGAGACGTATGATAGCAAACTGATATGTTCATACAGCCGACAAAAACAAACGAATCAGAGAAGCATTCGATTTCGGTTCTTTTTTCACCATCACTTTAATACATATTTATTTGATTATATTCATTAAGTTCTATAAAATACAGGGCTCCAGACTGCGACCAAATAGTCGCATTTTGCGACCAAAATTTGAGAGTGTGCGACTGAATTTTACATCCAGTTGCACATGTGCGACCGGTAAATTTGCCACACGTTAAACGCATGGTAAGCGTGGAAGGGACGCGTCAATGAATCCGTGACAAGAATAGCGCGATTAAACGTCTGTGGGAACATGAGAGAAGGAGTGAGACAGAGACAAATATCACAACCTGATGTGCGTCTGAGCAATAAGCGATCTATCGACACGTTACCTAGCAGCGAATACAAACAAAATGAAAGTTAAACTAAAATACGCAACTCATATAGGCTATGCTTCACGGACCGTTGGCGTTTTTATTAGGTGGGACCAATAATAGACAGAGCAGCGCATAGTGGAGCCCCCCGAACCACCGACAGTAATAAAGCCCCGAACTTGCCAGTCGCTGGTTAACACATTAATTAACATTAACTAAGGTTAATAACTGGTGTTCATTGTTTGTTAATTAACATACTGTCACAGTCTTCGTCTGCACCATCCTGTCTTGTCTTCAGCACTACACTTCCCAGGATCCTCTCGTCACCCTATCCCGTGTTCACTCCCTCATCAGCCACCTGTTCCTCGTCATCGTCATCTGTTTCACCTGTCTTCACCTCATTATGTTTGATTCTTCTGTGTATTTAGTTCCCTCAGTTTCCTTTAGTCTTGGTCGATCGATGTGAATGTTACGCTGTGTTCTGCCTGCCTGTCTTCAGTTTATTTGTTATTAAACCTGTGTATTGGAGCTCTTTGGATTCCGCCTGTTCCTTCTGCCTGAACCCGCACCCGTGACAGATCGATCGACCTCCAAAAATGGATTTAGCAGCTGTACAACTTCTCCTCCTGGAGCAGGAGGATCAATCCCTCGAGGCCCACACACAGAGGTATTTGGACTTGGTACCTCACGTTCACTATGATGACACAAGCCTCTGTGTGTTCTTCCGGGCAGGCCTAAACGCTGAAACCAAGGCACGCCTGCCCGGAGACGGGCCTCGAGGGGACTTTGTGGCCTATGTGGAGTGGGTGCTGGTGTCATGTGGATCTCCCTTTACCATGTATGACGTCACCCGCCCCACTCCATTGCTCGAGTGCTCTTCACCGCTGGTTCCGTCCAGCTCTCCAGAGATTGAATGCTCTTCACCGCTGGTTCCGTCCAGCTCTCCAGAGATTGAATGCTCTTCACCGCTGGTTCCGTCCAGCTCTCCAGAGTCTGAGTGCTCTTCACCGCTGGTTCCGTCCAGCTCTCCAGAGATTGAATGCTCTTCACCGCTGGTTCCGTCCAGCTCTCCAGAGATTGAATGCTCTTCACCGCTGGTTCCGTCCAGCTCTCCAGAGTCTGAATGCTCTTCGCCGTTGGTCCCGTCCAGCTCTCCCGAGATTGAATGCTCTTCAACGCTGGTTCCGTCCAGCTCTCCAGAGATTGAATGCTCTTCGCCGCTGGTTCCGTCCAGCTCTCCAGAGATTGAATGCTCTTCCCCGCTGGTTCCGTCCAGCTCTCCAGAGACTGTATGCTCTTCACTGCTGGTTCCGTCCAGCCCTCCAGAGACTGTATGCTCTTCACAGCTGGTTCCGTCCAGCCCTCCAGAGACTGTATGCTCTTCACTGCTGGTTCCGTCCAGCCCTCCAGAGACTGTATGCTGTTCATTGCTGGTTCCGTCCAGCCCTCCAGAGACTGTATGCTCTTCACTGCTGGTTCCGTCCAGTCCTCCAGAGTCTGTATGCTCTTCATTGCTGGTTCCGTCCAGCCCTCCAGAGACTGTATGCTCTTCATTGCTGGTTCCGTCCAGCCCTCCAGAGACTGTATGCTCTTCACAGCTGGTTCCGTCCAGCCCTCCAGAGACTGTGTGCTCTTCATTGCTGGTTCCGTCCAGCCCTCCAGAGACTGTATGCTCTTCACTGCTGGTTCCGTCCAGCCCTCCAGAGACTGTATGCTCTTCACTGCTGGTTCCGTCCAGCCCTCCAGAGACTGTGTGCTCTTCATTGCTGGTTCCGTCCAGCCCTCCAGAGACTGTGTGCTCTTCACAGCTGGTTCCGTCCAGCCCTCCAGAGACTGTGTGCTCTTCATTGCTGGTTCCGTCCAGCCCTCCAGAGACTGTATGCTCTTCATTGCTGGTTCCGTCCAGCCCTCCAGAGACTGTATGCTCTTCACTGCTGGTTCCGTCCAGCCCACCAGAGACTGTATGCTCTTCACTGCTGGTTCCGTCCAGCTCTCCAGAGACCGTCCAGCCAGCGCCAGAGACCGTCCAGCCTGCGCCAGAGACCGTCCAGCCAGCGCCAGAGACCGTCCAGCCAGCGCCAGAGACCGTCCAGCCAGCGCCAGAGACCGTCCAGCCAGCGCCGGAGACCGTCCAGCCAGCGCCGGAGACCGTCCAGCCAGCGCCGGAGACCGTCCAGCCAGCGCCGGAGACCGTCCAGCCAGCGCCAGAGACCGTCCAGCCAGCGCCAGAGACCGTCCAGCCAGCGCCAGAGACCGTCCAGCCGGCGCCAGAGACCAGGATCCCACCCAGCCTCCCTCGCCCGCCTCCTCTCATCTGTCCTCGCTCTGCTCTCCTGCCCTTCAGCTCCCCTAAACCAGCCTGGTCGTTGGATCCCCGGCCTTCGCCTCACACCTCCTCCTCAGAGACACTTCCTCGGCCCTCTGTCCCATCAGCTCCCCCGTGGCTCCTACCTCCCTCAGCTCCTCCATGGCCCCTCAGTCCACCAGCTCGACCAGGCTCCCTCGACCCTCCGGACTCCCTTCGTTCCCTCGTCATCCTCCCTTCACCTTTGGACTTCCTTCCCTTGGCTCCGCCCCGTGATGTCACCCCCCCGGTTCTGTCGGACTCCTCACTCCCTCCAGTCACCCGTCAGCCCTCACTCCCTCTGGCCTCACCGTGTCCCTCTGTGCCCCTGTCGTCACTTCTGTCACCTGTACCTACGGTGTCACCATGGTCCCTCGGTCCCTCCTCAGCACCCAAAGTCGTCTGTCCCTCTGCTTCACCCTGGTCCCCTCTCCCATCTGCTCCGCCCCTGTCAGTCGGCCCCCTGGTGTTGTCAGCCCCGCTTCCATCGGCTCCACCAGGGGTCCTCCCTCCATCTGCTCCGCCCTGGTCTCGCCCTCCATCTGCTCCGCCCTGGTCTCGCCCTCCATCTGCTCCGCCTTGGTCTCGCCTTCAGCCTGCTCCGCCCTGGTCTCGCCCTCAGCCTGCTCCGCCCTGGCCACGCCCTCAGCCTGCTCCGCCCTGGCCACACCCCTCTCAGGCCCCAGTTCGTCCCCCCTCCTTCCTCTGTTCTGCGGCGTGAGGTCACGCCTCCCGGGAGGGGGGAGTTCTGTCACAGTCTTCGTCTGCACCATCCTGTCTTGTCTTCAGCACTACACTTCCCAGGATCCTCTCGTCACCCTATCCCGTGTTCACTCCCTCATCAGCCACCTGTTCCTCGTCATCGTCATCTGTTTCACCTGTCTTCACCTCATTATGTTTGATTCTTCTGTGTATTTAGTTCCCTCAGTTTCCTTCAGTCTTGGTCGATCGATGTGAATGTTACGCTGTGTTCTGCCTGCCTGTCTTCAGTTTATTTGTTATTAAACCTGTGTATTGGAGCTCTTTGGATTCCGCCTGTTCCTTCTGCCTGAACCCGCACCCGTGACACATACTACATTTTTAAATTAAGGTTTTTATCTGTTAACCATAGTTAAAACTCTATGAACTAACATGAATGATCAAGGTGAAATTGTATTGCTCAAATATTAATGCTGTAAACATTTATATTGCATAATGCACATAGTTCGTAAACTAGCTAATAAATCATTGTTAACAAATTGGACTTGCAACATGTTATAGCTAAAGAAACACACATTTGACATATTTTAATGTTTAAATTATTTTCAGATGGCAAATTTTGTTATTATTTGAAAGTCTTTTTTTATTCATTAGGTTGGCTTGACAAAGAACAGTTAAACAGTTACATTTGGAATGTTTAATTTGTTATTTAGATTATTATTTTTTTTTTGTTTGAAAGAATGCCTTTTATTGACTTGTTTTCATGGTTCATACAGTTTTTTGTATTTTTATAATAAAGTTCAGCACTGTTTTACATGGAGTGTTATGTTTGTTTTTATCCAGTATCAATTTTATAAACTATCGGTTGATTAATCGGTTATCGGCAAGTACAGCCCAACCTAACTATCGTTATCGGTAAAATCCAATATCGGTCGACCTCTAATAATTACCATAGCACATGAACGCAGCATAAGACCCAACATCTAGCTACTGGGGTGCCTCAGGGCTCAGTGCTTGGACCACTCCTCTTCACCATCTACACGACATCACTAGGATCTGCGATTCAGAAACATGGCTGCTACGCTGATGACCCGCAACTCTACCTCTCATTCCAGCCTGACGATCCAAGGGAAGCTGCTCGTATCTCAGCCTGCCTCACTGACATTTCTGGCAGGATGAAGGACAACCACTGGCACTGCTCCCTTTTACCTAAACTCATTACTTCAGACTTATGTGCCATCCAGAAACTTGCATTCTGCAAGCGAATGTCGTCTTGTGGTGCCATCTCAAAGAGGCACAAAATCTCTTTCTCGGACATTTACCATGACTGTTGCCTGCTGGTGGAATGATCTGCCAAACTCAAGCAAGAAACCAGCAAAGCTGCTTTCAAGAAAGAGCTGAAGACGCATCTTTTTCGGCAGCACTCGATCCAGTAACACTAACACTTCCCCTTCTATTCAATTTTTTTTTTTTTTTATAAAAATAATATATTATATTATATATTAAACATGGATGAATCTTTTGCAATAAGATCTTTTGCAACAAGAATTTAGAAAATATATTTTTATTTCATGCTAACTTTAAAACTTTGTTCCCAGTATAGATATACAACGATTTTTTTTTTTTTTTTTTTTTTTTTTTGAAGAGCCTATTTCCTACGTTGTTTGGTTTTAGTTTTCTAGGAAATAAATTAAGAGAAGCACTTTGAGAAGAATTTTCACTTTTTTCCATCCTGGCTGCAATCAATCAATCAATCAATTGAGGAAGGGCATATACATTTTTAAAATATATATATATTTTTTGAATTGTCAATTTTGATTTCATGGTGACTTTAAGTGAACTTGTATTTTCTGGCTTATGTACTCACAATTCAGAGGTCTGGATGTGCCTGGCAGTGCCTTCGATGGTGCTGCAGTAGTCGGTGGCGAACTTGGTGACGATCTGCAGCAAGGTGGCGCTGTGGTCTTCCACAGGCTGCCCGTAGCTGTTGAGTCGGGACTGGTACTGGGCGGCGAGCACCGTGACTCGTGTCTTGAGCTCGGGGAGGCAGTCTCTGATGTGATGCATTAGCAGTCGGCTCAGGGTGCGAGCCAGGTATCGAGAGCCGCAGCGGGAGGCTAATGACGGGTAATGGCGCTGAAGAAACGCCTGCTCGTCTTTGCAGGAGTCAGTGAGACACTTTTGGGTGTTCAAGTCATGCTGGCTCCTGGTGAAGTACAAAAAAAAAAAGTTATAGGATTGAATAGTGGATCAAAGCCTGCAAAATTATTCAACAGAAGTAGGAAGGCACCAAGGTGAATCTGAACTCACTCTCAACAACATGCTTTCATCTAGAAGATTTTAGGCAGAATATACACTATCTGTCAAATTTTGGAAACATTACCTTTATTTTAAGGTGACTAAGTTACATTGTACTTACTCAAATAAGTAATATTAATTAACTACATGTACTTACTATAGAGTTATAGTTAGGGTTAGTTACTATTATTATTACTATTGTAAGTACATCATTTAGTAGTGAAGTATAGCGTAACTAAGTCATTAAAATAAAGTGTCTTATGCTCACTAAGGCTGCATTTATTTACTCAAAAATACACAATAACAGTAATATTGTGAAATATTACAATTAAAAATACATCTCCACAGATCATAGTTAGGATTTTTGTGCTCAAAAAATGGCAAGAGCTCTCCAAGATTTGCTTTGTGCAATTTCTTTGAGTCTACCGTTATATTGAAGTTAAACATAAATGGCCAATGCATTTATTTACTCAAAAATACACAATAAAAAACAGTAATATTGTGAAATATCACAATTAAAAATACATTTCCATTTTTATAAATTGTAAAATGTAATTTATTCATGTGAGCAAAGCTGAATTTTCAGCATCATTACTCCAGTCTTCAGTGTCACGTGATCCTTCAGAAATGTAGAGGCTAATACCAAATACCTTAATTATTTTAGCCTCCTGAGGTTAGATGAGGAGTATCTTCTTATCTACATGTCCATTAAGCACGCACAGAGATGCGGTCATAATAAAAGCTGTATTTATTGATGATCGCAATCTCTGGTTTACTTTCCAAACAAAACAAAAGTTGACATTCAAGAAAACATTATCAGTAACATGATTTCATGCGATTGAAGAAACTGTTGCTCTCCAAACTCTAACCTGTTTGTGCCGAACAATCCTATCTCATTATCAACACCTGCACTCGTAGTGACGTGTCAAAAAGGGGTGGAGTCAATAAACGTACTTGACTAGGTTAGTACAAGTATTAAATATTAAACATAAAACAGAATTCCCTTGTACTTTTAAAGCATAATATTTTGATGAAGCCCCTCCTACTGAAATACAAAATGTGCTGTGATTGGTTAACTTCTCTAGTGTAAATATTGCGGATGGCATCAATTTCAAACCAATTCAAGCCTGATTCAGACCCTGACAATGTTAACGAACCAGAGGACTTTGCAAGCACGGATTTCCCTGGACACGTCAGAGTGGTATGACTTTTGTAAATTCCTTATACATTATAGAAATGATGTTATCCACCATTTAATCGTGATATTTGTCGGAAAACTAAGGTAATTACAAGCAGTAATCGATCACAAAACCATGTTTAACATTGGAGAACAGACTCACAAAAGCGAGAGCTAACAGAAAACAAGCTGTTCTCCATAAAATGTGCAGCGGACAGATAAACGTTGGGGTTTTGATGTTCAGGAATTAAGTTTTAACCCCTTAAAGGTCAAACAAATGGAATGTTGTGGAAAAAACAGCGTCTCTTTGACAGCGATAGCACAGCTCAAACAGGCCTCGACCGCTCTTTTGCCTTTTCCGTGGGCGGGGATTATTTAAATGAGAAACATTGTGATTTCGTAAGATCTGTAAAAATCACATTGCAGTCAAAACAAGTCATTCGTTGTAGATCTTGAAAAGTGGATTCTGATCAATAAAATATCTCTCTTTGGAGTGGACTTAGAGCTTTGTAATCTTGCAGATCTTTTTTATGCTCAAACAGCAACATTACACACTAACTAAAGGTGAGAAAGATGTTTAAATGTTAAATGGATGTAAACTTTATTTGATTGAAAATTAGTTAAAAAAAAAATATTCCTGATATTCATTCTAATATGATGATTTGGTGCTCAAGAAATATTTATATCAATGCTTTGTAATATTTTTGTGAAAACTGAGACACTTTTTTCAGGATACTTTGATGAAAGTTCAGAACAGCATTTCTTTGAAATGGAAAAAATTTGTAACATTATACGTGTCTTTACTTTCACTTTGTTGATCAATTTAACTTAATAAATGTATTCATTTCTTTTAAAACAACAACAACAACAAAAAAAAACTTACTGACCCCAAAGGTTTGAGTGGTTGGAGAAGTCAAAAAAGAGGTCATTTTAGAGAAAGAGCAAGCCAAATCACATTTTGAAGGCTCACTTGGAAAGTAAATCTACTATTTACAGAGTTACTATGGATTTCATATTGACTTTAAATATAGAGATCGTTGGCATCATTAGGCATGTATTGTTCTTAGACAAATGAAAGTGTATAGTTCTTTCCTTTTGGTCAAAGTGAATTTCTAAAACAATCTGCAGAGCCTTTTTACAGGATAGAGGCGAGCTGATAATTGTTAGTACACTGCCCACTACTGGAAAAGACGAAGCTGTAACTTTGGTTGTACTGTGCACAAGATTCTGAAGTAAATGCAAATAGTGCTTTCATGGGCAAAAGTAAACATAATTTGCCACACTTCTGTGGCACTGAAGATGGTTGCTAGCGAATTTTGATGTGATTACTAGGGCAGGTTTGGAGTATTTGGTTACTGGTTCAAGACTTTATGGTATTTTGTTATGGGTCGGCTGCTTCCTTCAGTTCTGCCTGTTTTGTTTTATCATCCAAAACACATGATTTGAAGAATCATTCACGTCTGTAGGCCAAATGACATGCAATATTAAAGGGATAGTTCACTTTGAGATTAATTTTTGGTATGTTTTAGCTTACCTCAAGGGCATCCAAGATATAGGTGTCTTTGTTTCCACAGTATTTTAAAATTTGATATTTTTAGGTCAAACCGTTCTTGTCTGTCAGTCATATAATGCAGGTCTATGGTCACCACCTCAAAGAGGTGAATTACCTGAAAAAAAATTAAACATGATTTAATGACTCGTAAACGTAAGTACACATTGATGGCCTAAGACACGAAACGAGCGGTTTGTGTGTGAAAACGAACAGTATTTATATCGTTTTTACCTCTTGTAACCACAGCACTAGAGATCACATTTGGACGTGGCTGTGGTTACAAGAGGTAAAAACGATATAAATACTGTTCGTTTTCACACACAAACTGCTCGTTTCGTGTCTTAGGCCATCAATGTGTACTTACATTTACGAGTCATTAAATCATGTTTAATTTTTTTTTAGGTGGTGACCATAGACCTGCATTATATGACTGACAGACAAGAACGGTTTGACCTAAAAATATCAAAATTGAAACTACAGCGGAAACAAAGACACCTACATCTTAAATGCCCTTGAGGTAAGCTAAAACATATCAAAATTAATTTGAAAGTGAACTATCCCTTTAAAGATTAAGGATTGGTTTAAATCCCTGACATTAAGTATTGAGGTCTACTGATAAAAGTAATGTACATTGCACTGAACACATCTTTTATTTGTTGCTCGCTCTCCATAAATGCTCTCCCAGGAAATCTTCAAGTGCTTTCCTGTTTGACTGCTCGTTGTTTGAATCCTCAAAGCGAGTGTTGGTTAATATTGCAGAGATGTTGGCCCGCAGCTGTTTCTGATTAAGTTAACGAGAGTCGAGAAATGAAAAGTGTCACTGCAGTTCTTCTCCCCCAACTAAACTGTCTCCCTGTATTCGTAAAGCACATGCTACAGCCCAAGCTGAATAAACCAGTGATTTATCTCCGGCACGGCTCTGCTAGATGATAGCGGGTAGACGTGGTACCCTTGGGTGCTTGTGCTTAAAAAGGCAGGGCAGGAGAGGATAACAGCGCAGGGAATATTACAGTCACTGCTCCTTAGGGGTGTGATAGAGGAACTCGAAATGTAAGAAAATTACACTGTTAAAATGTCGCACTGCTTTTCACACGGTTGATTAAGTTTCTACCGCAGTTAAAGAAGTCGAAAGGGCCGTGTGCTACACTTTATTCTTTCCCTGAAGCCCTACTAATGTCATTCAGGATTTCCTGTGCATGTTGTGAAGTTATTTCACATGGTCATTCTTTAACGCTCATGCTTATACAGGCTGTGTTTGCTTTAGGACTTCATATGTACTGTAAATGTGCTGTAATGATGAGAAAAAACAGAACGCATTTTTGCTAAATGTGTGAAATACATCACTACAGGAAACTGGAGCAGTTTCAAGGTGAAATGATCACTTGTGTTGCTAAAAGAGCTACAGGGCTCTGTGGTTTTTGTTTAGAAGAGTTGAAATTTGAAAAATGTAGATTTCACAATTATTTTCAAGTTTGGGGTCAGTAAGTTTTTGATGAATACTTTTATTCAGCAAGGACACATTAAATTGATCAGAAGTGACAGTAAATTAACACTTGAAGGGGTGTGCATAAGACTGACATGACACCTTCATAACCATGACATGACATATGTTATGAATATGAAGGACGTTTTATGCATGTTTGTGACAACTGTCATTAAAGGATTAGTTCACTTTTGAAAAAACTTTTGCTGACAATTTACTCACCCCCATGTCATCCAAGATATCCATGTCTTTCTTTCCTCAGTCGAAAAGAAATTAAGGTTTTTGATGAAAACATTCCAGGATTTTTCTCCATATAATGGACTTCAATGGGAACCAAACAGTCCAAGGTCTAAAAGACAGTTAATAACAGATGCAGCTTTCAAATGTCTTTAAACGACACCAGACGATGAATAAGGGTCTTATCATGCGAAACGATCGGTTATTTCAAAACTTATTCCAAAAATGTAACTTTTCTAAGGACAAATGCTAGCCTTGCTCTATTCTGTGAGGCGTGTTTGTAACGTCACGTAATACGTAATTACGTTCAAAAGGTCACGGGCGACGTAGCCGGAAGTACAGAATCAAAATCGTCCGACATCGTTGTTTTTCCTTTTAATTCCTTTTTTGTAAACGGCGTTTGAGTTTTTTTTTGCACGTTCAACCTATGCGTTCAACTTGTAAACACAGACTCTGTACTTCTGGCTACGTCGCCCGTGACCTTTTGAACGTAATTACGTATTACGTGACGTTACAAACGCGCCTCAGAGAATAGAGCAAGGCTAGCATTTGTCCTTAGAAAAGTTACATTTTTGGAATAAGTTTTGAAATAACCGATCGTTTCGCATGATAAGACCCTTATTCATCGTCTGGTGTCGTTTAAAGACATTTGAAGCTGCATCTGAAACTGTTATTAACTGTCTTTTGGACCTTGGACCGTCTGGTTCCCATTGAAGTCCATTATATGGAGAAAAATCCTGGAATGTTTTCATCAAAAACCTTAATTTCTTTTCGACTGAGGAAAGAAAGACATGGATATCTTGGATGACATGGGGGTGAGTAAATTATCAGCAAAAGTATTTCAAAAGTGAACTAATCCTTTAAGTGTCATTCGCTCAGTTATGACATTTTTAATGCAAATATGACATTGTTTGAGATGTCTTTGTTATGACACCTTGACATAAACCAATACATCATAACCTGTCAGTGTCTTTGTCATGACAACTTGACATTACTAAGACAACACAACCTGTCATAAACATGACATAGCAGATTAATGATCAAACTTAAGAAGCTTTATTGGTTAACATTACATTAAACTGTCATGTGGTTGGGTTTGACATTGGCTGTCATGAAGCCATTATAACTCTTTAATGACAAATTCAATCAGTACCACTGTAGTTGAGGTCAAGAAAAATATTCATGACACAGTTATAATGACCTCATGACAGCCAATGTCAAAGCCAACCACATTACAGTTTAACTTCATTTTATGTCAAGATGTCATAACAAAGACATCTTAAACAATGTCATATTTGCATTCAAAATCTTATTATTGAGCAAAAGACACTTAATGACAGTTGTCATAAACTTCATATTCAAGATATATGTCATGTCATGGTTATGAAGGTGTCATGTCAGTCTTATGCACACCCCTTCAAGTAAAGTGTTACAGTAACATTTTTATTACTGTCAAAGTTGCATTTGATTACTGTAACTTTGATTTTTCTATTCATCAAAGAATCCTGGAAAAAAAAAAAATCAAATGTATCACGGTTTTCATAAAAATATTAAGCAGCACACCTGTTTTCATTACTGATAAAAATACGAAATGTTGGTAGCACTTTATTTTACAGTCCTGTTCCCCATGTAGATATGATGTATTTACTGTATTATAGTAATTACAATAACTGGGTAATAACTAAGTACTAACCCTGAACCCATCTCTAAACATAACCTTAACCTACTGAACACATGACTCTCCTGTTCAAACTCGTTCATCAAAATGAACAAATCTTTTTCCGAGTCATTTGGTTGATTCATATTTGCCTTGGGGAAAATAAAAAAATGATTGTTTGCGTTTTCAACAAATGTTTAAAGCCACTGACCTGTTAACCACACCAATAATGCCCAGTCTGACTGGTATGACGCGGCCCAGCAGCACCTCCAGAGCATCCGTCCCAGCGTCCATCAAATCCAGCTTACTCACGACAAGCAGCGTCCTGTGACCTGAGCACAACAGACGATGAGTACATTCCCTTCCCACAATGCCATTCAATGGAGCAATAATGACATCTGGACTTCTCTGCATGTCGCTCACCATCTGGGTCCACGTCTCGTGCCAGTTTAAGGGCATCAGATGTGGCGAGGTCAGAGTTGGCGGGAGATACACACAGGATGAGAGAGTTGGGGTTGGAGATGTAGGACAAAATCATCTCTTGGACTTGAGTCTCGATATCTTCAGGCTGGTCCCCAACCGGGACCTACACAAAAAAAAGATCATATCATTGAATGAATGAATGGATTTCAGCTATTTTATCTTTAAAAATCGCAGACATATTTACAATTTTACTGGGAAATCCAGATATTTCAATAGGAATCCACGAGATTGGGAAATGGGAATTCTTTTTTTTCAATATATTTATTAACTTTTTACCAACATATAATACACACACACCCAGAACAAAAATACAAAATACAGTATAGACACATATTAATGTCTTTCGCATCATTACAACTTAGCATATCTCAATTTGTACAGAACTCACATCCTCAAGATTAATGAACATAAAAATAAATAAATAAATAATAAAAGAGTGATTTCCCCAGACAAGAGTGAAAGAGTGATTTCCCCAAACAAGAATTTGCAATGGGTTCAATGTTTTGGTTTGAAAGTGACTTCTGAGTTGTGCTTCATACATCACAATGTATTTTTTTTTTCATCAAAGTGTCCCAAATGTGGTCGCACCTAATACAGAAATGCACCTTTTCCATTGGTTTTCCAACCACCACTAGATGCTGCATTTCTGCCACCTACTGGACTGGAGAGTGAAGTACAGGATGGAGAGCAATGGTGTTTGCCACAATTTTACTGTACAATTACTTAAATTAGGGTTGTGTATCAGCAACAAAGTCACAATGGTAAGTTATACAACTATTATCAGTTGTAAAGTCCTTATACAATTCAATTAAACTTCTGTTCTATTTATTAGGGAATCCCAAACGGAGACGTTACAGTCGAGATATTTGGATTTATTAAAATTAATCACAGAAATTTTGCTCATAGATTTGACAGCAGAAAATTACACAAACCTCATTATGATTGAACACAGACTTGCTGTGTTACACATTTCTTTAAACAGAATATCACACTGGAGACCGCTAAACTTCAAGAGTACCAGCGTTTTCAAAAAACCTGTGCTATTATCTGTGGAGACTGAGCAGAATATTTCCCTATCGTGAAACTTTGATTTAGGGATTAGATCTCTAGATATCAGCCAATCCTATTATATTTGCTCACAGGCTTAGGTAGCCTATATTATTTATACAGTATTGCTGATTCATAGTGGTGCACGATATATCGGGCACCGATATAATATCGGCCGATATGGTCAATTTTTGTACATATCGGCATCGTTCCGATGTCAAAATAGGGCCGATGTGAACAGGCCGATTATCATTACTGTGTATTTAACGTGTGTGTAGATGTGAGTGTGGGGGCGGGGATGTTTGTTTTTTAATGAGCGCATACATTAGGAACCTGTCAGTTTAAATATCAAGCACAAGAAGACTGGAACTTGCACGCTGTTTTCTGTCAGCCTTACTAAGGTGTTATTACGTATTACATAGCTAGTTGGGCTAGTCTAACGGTGTACTATTTAGCTTTAAAGGGTTAGTTCACCCACAAATGAAAATTCTATCATCATTTACTCACCCTCATGTTGTTCCAATCCTCTATGTGTTTGTATTTGTTTTGCTGAACACAAAGGAAGATATTTGGAAGAATGTTTTAATCAAACAGATCTCATTCCCCATTGACTACCATAGTAGGAAAAAATGCAATACAAGTCAATGGGGAATGAGATCTGTTTGATTAAAACATTCTTCCAAATATCTTCCTTTGTGTTCAGCATAACAAATAAACACATAGAGGTTTGGAACAACATGAGGGTGAGTAAATACTGACAGAATTTTCATTTTTGGGTGAACTAACCCTTTAATAACATGATCACTTAGAGTGGGTAATATGACCAAAATATTATAGGCAAAAATAAGCACAAAGAAACTAAAGACAATAGGACAAATAAATACCAACATACATATTTAAGTTGAGGTTTTCCTGTTGTTGTTTGATTAAAGACACTGACAGGAGCAGGTATATTAGGTTGCTGTCATTTTAGGACCTCAATTTTAAAAGATGACTCTCACCCTCTGCGAAATGAGTTTCAGTTACTACCGTCTGCGAGGAGGTATAAAGTCCCTAGGTGCAGAACGAAAAGATATAAAAGCAGCTTCGTACCTAATGCGATTGATATGCTTAACAAATTGCAGAGGTGTTTTTCAGATAATACGTACTAGGAGTCTTAATATTTTATGATATTTAAAGAGATCATATGAAATGCTCTTGAGAGCACTTCTTTTATGAGAGCACTTCACTAAGAGTATTTTATTTTATTTTATGTGTAGTGTACCAGTAGTGTCCTGTGTTTTTTTTTTTTTTTTTTTTTTGTACTGGATGCCACAGTATCTCATTGCACTGTAAAACAAATTTACCTACGGGTATAAATAAAGTAAATAAACAAACAAACAAACAATACTGACAAGGTCCCAAATACTCATAGACATTAATGCCAAGACGCACATTTAAATCCTAGAAAAAAAAAAAAAAAAAAAAAAAAACAGTACTCGCCCGCATAGAAAACCACAGGCAGTCTGACATCGGTCAGTATGTCAAGTAACGAGATTAAATTCTATCGAGGGTATCATACTTTTTATTTTGTCATTCATCCATGTTTTTTAATCACCTACAGACATAATGTGCACAGCATCTGTATCCTTGTGAAAATAATATTAATGAAACGCCTTGCCTTTGTCCCTCCATGTGGCCGACTCTGTCGATTCCTTTAATTAAAAGGCATCTTAAGACATTATTATTTAAACAAGCTTTTAGTTGACTGGGTCATTTGGGGCTATTTTAATTTATGTAATTTTTTATTGATTGTATACTGAATCATTATTGTGGTTACACTTTGTAAAGCACTTTGTGATTTTATTTGTGAAAAGCACTCTATAAATAAACTTTACTTACCTACTTACTTAACCTACTTCCTTACAACTTTATGCAATTCAATAATTATTGTTTTTTTTTTTTCTGTATTGATATTACTGTAAGAATTGTAGTATCGTGGGCTAATATAGTTTATTTCTTAAACAATTTATTGTACTAAAATAACATGTTTAAAATTTTAAGAGATAAAATAGAATATGATACTTCTATTTTTATCCTAAAGCAAATGAGCTTGTTTGCATTACATTACATGGCAAAATAACATGCACAGTCATTGTTGTTACCTTAGTGATCCCAGGCAAGTCGACCAACGTCAGACTGAGCACGTTTGGGGAATAGATCTTCAGGTAAATGGGCTCTGGACTGATGCCCTAAGGAGGAAAAAGAGGACAACTAAATGAGAACATTAAAATCCAGGCCTTCAAATGGTACGACAAGTGTGTGTGCAAGTCAAACTGAATGAAACACTGATGAGTGCCATGCTTCCACTGCACCTTATTTTCGGTATTGCGATCCGTTTCATCCTCAATCTCTTTCCGGATTTCACTGAAATCTGTGAAAATCTGAGCAAAGAAAAAACAGCATCTTTAAAGAATCGATGTGATAAGCTTGATCTGAAAGTGATCTGAATGACCCTTTGTATAAACTTAAGCCCTATTGACGAGACTAGTTTTCTATACAATGTTTGAGTTACATGAACTCACCCAATCTCTGTGATTTCATGCACCGATTCAGACTGGACTAACAGTGTGTTCTCTAGATAGGCATTACAGAAGGTATATACTGAGTATTTCACAATCTGCTCAGTTACTGGGATTTTCACGCACAACCATTTCTAGGGTTTACAAAGAATGGTGTGAAAAGGGAAAAACATCCAGTATGCGGCAGTCCTGTGGGAGAAAATGCCTTGTTGATGCTAGAGGTCAGAGGAGAATGGGCCGACTGATTCAAGCTGATAGAAGAGCAACTTTGACTGAAATAACCACTCGTTACAACCGAGGTATGCAGCAAAGCATTTGTGAAGCCACAACACGCACAACCTTGAGGCGGATGGGCTACAACAGCAGAAGACCCCACCGGGTACCACTCATCTCCACTACAAATAGGAAAAAGAGGCCAAAATTGTACAGTTGAAGACTGGAAAAATGTTGCCTGGTCTGATGAGTCTCGATTTCTGTTGAGACATTCAGTTGGTAGAGTCAGAATTTGGCGTAAACAGAATGAGAACATGGATCCATCATGCCTTGTTCCCACTGTGCAGGCTGGTGGTGGTGGTGTAATGGTGTGGGGGATGTTTTCTTGGCACACTTTAGGCTCTTTAGTGCCAATTGGTCACCGTTTAAATGCCACGGCCTACCTGAGCATTGTTTCTGACCATGTCCATCCCTTTATGCCCACCATGTCCTCTGATGGCTACTTCCAGCAGGATAATGCACCATGTCACAAAGCTCAAATCATTTCAAATTGGTTTCTTGAACATGTCAATGAGTTGACTGTACTAAAATGGCCCCCACAGTCACCAGATCTCAACCCAATAGAGCATCTTTGGGATGTGGTGGAACTGGAGCTTCGTGCCCTGGATGTGCATCCCACAAATCTCCATCAACTGCAAGATGTTATCCTATCAATATGGGCCAACATTTCTAAAGAATGCTTTCAGCACCTTGTTGAATCAATGCCATGTGGAATTAAGGGTGTCAAACACAGTATTAGTATGGTGTTCCTAATAATCCTTTGGGTGAGTGTACATTAGTAAATACAATATCGGCAATCATAGACACTAGCATTTGAATAGGATAAGATCAACTTTTGTAATTACCTGGTTTTTGCAGTGAAGGAATGTGCCCCATTCCTCTGCTTTGATACCTTTAGAAGATATAATGAGACAGAATGAGAGAGAGAATAACAAGAACACAAGACAATACAAATCAATATTAAGGACACTGAATCTGCAGAAAACCTCTTCCCATAAAAGACCTCGGCAGAAAAAAAAAGCATTTTACAGGCTTTCACAGCAAAGAGAACTGAAGTGAACAAATTGTAAAATCAATATTCAACCAGAAATGTTACAGTGGCCGGATACATGAGTACACAACAGAGAGATTGGAGACCAAACGTGCATTTGCTCTAGTCTCAGAGTGGAAACAATAGCAGTAAAAACAATACCAGTTTTTCACTTAAAAAACTCAACCGATGGGAAAACAATCTAGGTTATAAAGAATGACATTTACAAAACAGAAGATGACGCAAGTGCTGTGGGATGGGAACCACACCAGGACAGCGAGATCATGCAGACGAACAAGTGTTGAAAAACAGAGACCTGGATAGGTGTTTTGAGAGTTTTGTTTAGCCCCATTTCCTGAGAAAGTAAAGAAAGGACAGCAGAGAGAGTGTTACTGTAAGCGGATTAGAAACAAATTCACAGAACGATCAGAACACGTCATAGTGAGCAGACGTTAAAAGGGTCGTGACATGGCGTTTTTTATTATTGTAATGTTCCTTGAGGTTCACTTATAATATTAATAGCATTTTTGCACACAAAAACAAATATATGTGAAAAAACGAGTATTTTCAACCTGTCAGTCTGTTTTTAAGAGGCGGTTCCTTTAAGGCTTGTCAGTAAACGGCCACTGTTGTGATTGGCTAACGTCATTGCACTGGAAACAGTCACTCAATATCAACGCCCACTCAATATTGCAATATTGAGTTAGTGTTTTGAAAACATTATCCATATAAAAACTGTCGCTTACGCGAAGATCATGACACATTTAATTGAATGTTCCAGGTTCAGTACTAAGTTAAGCTACTAAAAAAGAGCAAAACACATTTACAGTAATGCACTTACAATGGACAAGTCTATAGGACAAGAAATATGATACACAAATATAAGAAATATGAAGCTCTCATTTTCATTAAGGTTATTAATTATATATAAATCTATTAAAAAAAATATTCACTAGTGTCTAAATCATTTTATTAAATGTAGCAAATTTACTATAAAACTATTTTCTGGAATTTATCAAAATTAAAAGTAAAAGCCATTTATAATTTTACAAAGATGTATATTTCAAATAAATGCTGTCCTTTTGAACTTTTAATTCATCAAATTATGAAGCAGCACAAATGTTTTAAACATTGATAATATTAATAAATATTTCTTAAGCCCCAAATGTGGTACATCACAATGAGTATTGATGCTGAAAATGCAGCATAAATTACATTTTTAAAACATTCAATTGCAATAATATTTCACAACATTATGTTTTTTTTACTGTATTGTTTATTAAAAAAATGCATTATAAAAAGAGTTTGAACAGCAGTGTAACTACCAATCAGCGTTAGCCTAAATGTTTAGATATTACGACTACACTTTTAAAATAGTGTGTATTTTAGCATTTATTCTCATGAAGTGTCTTATACTGAACCCTGAACATTTCTTAAATGTTTTTTTTTTTCCTTTAAGAACATTGACAATAAATTTGAATGACTTCTATATTAAAGCATGCAAAGCAAGTGCATGTGTGCTATACGTGATCTTGTGTGAAATACTCTTTTTTTCCAATATATTTAAAACTTTCTCATAAAACCAAGAGATATGTTGTATAGAGAAAACAGCTCTTAAAGAGACACATTTGTAAGCGGTTACCGTTGTCTTGCTTGCGCCTCTCCTCCAGCGATGGCACATTCACCAGCTGTAACACCAGAGGGCGTCGCGTCACTATTCCTGAACCTCGGGGCAAGAAATCTCGTCCAACCAAACTCTCCAATACTGAGCTCTTTCCACTGCTCTGTAGATTTATACAGAGAGACAAACAGAGCATATAATTGACTTCACAGGGAAACTACATGTCGGCCACCTTGCATCATGTACCATCACAAATCAGAGATCATACCTTACGTAGTGAAGGTTTCAATGCATAAACATGCAAACTCAAACCATTCACTGTTAGATTAATGACTCACCTGTGATCCCACGACTACGATCTGAGGAAGCTGGATGATCTCGGCTCCAACTGTGAGGAAAACCTCCTGCAGTCTGTTAATGATGGGAATAAGAGTTTCCATCTCTGCAAGAGAAAGAAGAATCGATGCCTTAGTGTAAAGCTGCTATGTATATAACTACATTGAATAACTACAGCAATATCTGTCAATCCTATATTGATATAATTCATACACACACACATATACATATATATGTATGTAAAAGTTATATATGTAAAAAAGGGCTGTGCAAAAGTTAATTGCGATTAATCGCATCCAAAATAAAAGTCTGTGTTTACATTATATATTTGTGTGTGCTGTATATAATTATTTTGTATATATAAATACCTATGCATGTATATATTTAAGAATTATTTGCGCTTAAATTCTGTATATATTTATAAATACATAATCTATATTATATAAATATAAATATTTTATAAATGAATAACACATTTTCTTAAATATATACATGCATGTGTGTGTATTTATATATACAAAATAATTATATACAGCACACACAAATATATTATGTAAACACAGACTTTTATTTTGGATGTGATTAATCGCAATTAATTTTTGCACGGCCCTAATATATACATACATATATAATATATATATATATATATATATATATATATATATATATATATAGTACTTACAGACACAGATACACATATGTGTGTGTGTGTGTGTGTGTGTGTGTGTGTGTGTAAATACATGTATACATATAAATAAATATGTAAATATATAAATAACTGATATTGCTGGATAGAAGATATTGCTGTCGATTGATGTCACATATTTACGTGCGTTTTACATTAATAAAGAGCACTAGCCTGCACAACCCATTCATGCAACTACTTTATTAATTTGCAGTTATACTGAATATTGCACGACATGAGCCGTGCAGGGTGTGATGCTGCTGACAGCAGAACAAGGTTAACATGATAGGAAAAACGAATAATATCCTTACCGTGTGTCGACCCTTTTACAAAATTACACAGTCACAACGTTTAAACCTAAACGCTCACTGACATGCTGGGAATGTGGGAAATACAACGTACAGTCACTGGAAGACCGACATGTTTTGAGGTTTCGCTTTTCTGCGCCCTTACGTTGGCTGGGTCTGGAGCAGGGTCTGGAGTCAGCTACAAGACATTCGATTGGCTAATGTATTGGTGACGTTAGGGTGTATGGTCAGCTCATTGGATGAAACACCTATCAATCACAATATGTCATGGCCGCTTCGCCACGCCCCTTACCATCCAAAGAAGACCCCTACAATTTTTCATTTTTGGCTTTAATATCACAGTAGCGTTTTAATGGAATGCTATTGAATTAATTAATTAATTAATTAATTAGCATTCAAAAAGGTTGGAAATCTATTAGGATATTTGCGAACCTATTCGATTTTTTAAGGAAGTAGGCTAGGCAAGGAATTGAGGAAGTGTGGTCAGAATTTAGGAATTTAGACACAAATGATCAAAATGTGCAAATCACATGACATGACAGAGGACGCTATATTTTGAACTGCATAGAAATAATTATAATTTTGTAGCTAGTTTTAGATACCGCGCGAAAGTTTTTCAGGTTATTGTTATTATTTGTTTAGATTTTTTGTTCGTTCGTTTATTTAAAAGGAGAGAATATATCAATATTACGTGTAATGGTGCAAAAACTACGCTAAAGTGGTTGAATTCGTTTCTCCTCCTGCCATCTTGGAGTCATTCGAAAATGAGGGAGGGCTCTTCCAGCTAAGCTAGTCCGATTTATTTTAGGGAATCGGTTCGTCTGGATGGTTCATTTAAATTTCAAACGGTTCGGAAACTAAGTCACTGATTCGTTTGAGTTTGAGACATGTCGCTCAAAAGTGTTCTCGGAAAGTCTCCACGCGGTATTTTGTAGTAAAATAAATTGTATTACTTTCACTGTTTGTTGTGTTGTTAAACGCTCTAGAACTGACGTGTCGCCTAAATTCCCTGCGAATCGGTTCGAATGAATCACTAAATAAAACCGACTGAAATACGATTCGAACATCAATGTTTTGCGTCAGACCCTTGTGACTCTACAGTCATGTCCTGTTGTGCTAGGAAGAAACATATAATGCTCGACAACAGCTGATGTGCTTCTGGATCATTAAAACACTGGTTCATTTTGGTGTCAAATAGATTTCCGGAAGATTCAGACGCGCAGCGAATATCAAAACAGCCACGACAGTAAACGTGAAGAAGGTAAATTGTCTGACAGTTTATATTTTTCTCACAAAATCTGTCAGGGTGATTGGTGCATAGAATATTAGATCATTTTAGACCTGTATGTTTTTGTACTTATTGATTTCATAATGGATGGCGTGCATATTCTGCCCGGTTAGGATTTTCTGTGTCATCATGTCCTTGTAAGACAAACTATTTGGTCACAGAACAAATACTTTGTGGTTTATAGGTCGTGTGATTTTCGCAAATTTCGCTTCTGTGATACTCGTTTCAGTAAAGCATTTGTTACAATGTAACTGCCATGTTTTCACAGCAGTGACGTCACATGACTCAATGAATCACAATGAATTAATTCTTTGTACTTCTAGCACTGAATACTGAAGGTGTAGTAGTTTGATCACTGCTCTTCTTTCCCCGTTTTAAAATGACGTTAATTGCAAATCTTGATAGTAGTTCTGCAACTAACATTTAAACCAATTTTTTTAATTAATCTTATTATGTGTTCGTTTAATTCCCCATTAAATATTAAGCAAATTCAAGGCTATACAAATATTTAATAAAAAAAAATGACCGTTACAAATCTATATAAGAACACAGACCCATTCGATAATGGCAGTTGTTGTCAAATATTGCCATTATGATTTTTATCCATTAGTTCTCGCAGCCTCTGTGTCTATGATATATATATATATATATATATATATATATATATATATATATATATATATAGGCTTATTAATATATAATTTTACTAAATGGTAACAGACCTGTATTTTGGGACAACTATCCCAATATCTATTTAAATGATAAACATCTGACTTTGTGAATGACCTCAGTAAATCTATGACCTCATGACAATATTTAAATGTAAACTAGACATATTTCATATTAATTAGTGTGCATTTCAATCAAATACAATAGTGGCTTAAAAATAACAGTCGTGCCGTTTCACTTTTTACAGTGTAGGTGTACCTGTCAAGCATTTATCTGTGGAAAATAAAGCATCTTCTGTCTGATATCTGATATCCTTCTCTGCTTCGTAGCGTTCTCATACACATCATGGCTTCTCGTAAGAAGGTCCTGCTCAAAGTGATCATCCTAGGGGATTCTGGGTAAGTGTTTATGCAACATCACTGAGGTTTAGATTGTTATCCTCAGTCTTCATGGAGCTCAAATGCTCTTATCAGTTGTGACACTTTGTCCTCTTTATGTTGGCCCATGTTTAAAGTAGCTGTACACACGTAAACATTATTGCCTGTTGACATTACTCAAGGAATTCCCCTGACTTTCCAACATCAGTGCCGTTGGAATTTGCTCACACTTAATAATCACACTATCTCTTCAGTATCACATCTTTCTGTTGGGGAATATTATCAAGACTTAGGATACTTCACCTCTGGAAAGATGAATGTGTATTTAAAATAGATCATTTATGTAGAAGAAATGTGAAATTATTTTTCTAGACTGAGAAAAGCAAGAAAATGTATTTTTGGCTTATATTGTGGATGAAAGACAACAACTCCCAGAATGCACTTGCTTCGGTGCCCTAGGAGGCCACACCTACCGGTAACAGAGCGCAGAGGTTAAACAACAACTCTATGCTACTAGTGAGTCTCCGTGATGAGTCTGCCCGAAAATGTGTTTCGAGATCGGACAAAATGTCCGGGATTCGGCTTTTGCGTTCTACAGTCGCCGTTCATCGACCTCCACGCGAGGCCGGTGGTGTGATTACCGATGAGCGACACCTGTGAGATGCACCGGTCTCGTATCTCTCACGGAGGAGAGGGAAATTTCTTAGCAATATTAAAACGCACATCAACCGATCACTTGTTTAGCGTTCATGTAAACACTACTATTAGAATGAATTCAGTTAGATTGAAACAAAAGGTGTGCATGTAAACAATGAATGGCGACTGCAGAAAGAAAAAGCTAAATCCCGGACATCGACGGCTGGACATGTCCGGGAAAAAGAGGAAGGTAACACCTACTTAGCTTCCAAACAAAGATGGCCGACACTATGTGTTCATTCTGTGAGTGAGAGCCCCCTCTATGGGCGGGTTGAGGACATGCAGGACAGACCTGACTACTGACTGTAGTCTTTAGCCTCTGGCCAAAAAATCCTCAGATGACACAAAATGACGATTTTTGCGTCATCGGAGGATTTTTTCCAGACAAAAAATACATAAATCTCTCGTCTCAGGGGGATATGAGTGTGGAAAGCACGGTAATTCGAAAATACTACAGGTTTTCTACTAATACAAAGCTTAATGCTAAATCCTGAAGTATCCCTTTAAAGATGGTGATTTCAGCTGCACATGTTTTTGAGCATTGCCTACTCAATCCGTTTGTCTTGTTTGTCTCTGTCAGAGTTGGGAAGACCTCTTTGATGAACCAGTATGTGAATAATAAGTTCAGTAATCAGTATAAGGCCACTATCGGAGCCGACTTCCTGACCAAGGAGGTGATGGTGGACGACAGACTGGTCACCATGCAGGTTTGCATTCAAGTCTATTCATAAGTTCATTCATAAGTTTAAATGTCACTTATACTACTGTTCAGAAGTGTTGTTTATTTTAAAGGAATTAATACTTCTATTCAGCTAGAATACATTCAATTGGTCAAAAGTGACATTAAAGACATTTATAATGTTAAAAGTTTTAAATTTCAAAAATTGTTCTTATGAACTTTCTGTTCATCAAAGAAATTTGTTTCAACAAAAATATTAACTGTTTTCAACATTGATGATAATCATAAATGTTGTTTCTAAAGCAGCAAATCGTCATATTAGAGTGATTTCTGAAGGATCATGTGACAAGACTGGAGTAATGATGCTGAAAATTCAGATTTGATACAATTTTAGAATCTATGAAAATAGAAAACAGTTGTTAACAGTTGTTTTAAACATTATTACTGTTTTACTGTATTTTTGATCAAATAAATGCAGCTTTGGTGAGCAAAAAACAACATTAAAACAAAGCTAGATAAGAGATTTAGGAAACATGAGTGCGACAAACACACAAAGGCTAATGACTAACAAGATAGAGTAATCAAGGCGATAAACCAATGACCCGGCAGAACTGAGAATCACCTGATCACACAAAGCAATGAAAACACAAGAACCAAAGGAACCTCATGACCAGATCACATGATGGAAACAGGGCATCACATGACAACAAAACCAGAAAACATGACTATGACTAATTTCAAAATAAAAGCCATGAGATGTGACAAGAGTAAAGATAAATGTGCAAGCCAAAAGTGACACATTACTTTCATGCCAAATATAAATGTTCAATAAATAATTTGGGAGTAAAATAAAACTTTCTAAATATTCCTTGAATCAGATTCACTTTTATTACCTATAATAGCAGTAATTGGAGCTACTCTGCTCAGTAATTGTAGCTATAGTGCTCATAAATAATAAGAGAACAGCGTGTTCTGAGGATGATGATGTCATTTCCTTAACAACCATTATTTTGTGAACAATGCCCCATGGCAAATAATCATCTCTGGTCATGTGATGTGGTTAAAGGCTCTGCATAATAGGCGATACAGTCATCTTAAAAATATGAAATATCTGTAATTACTCATAGCTTATGGGTAGGATCTCATCTCAATGTTTTACACTCATACTGATGGTCATGTGAGAGAAATGAGGCACATCTAGTGACATGTCTGGTAGTCCCCTGGAGGTTTGCCTGTAAACACAGTCCATGTTGTGTTTAGTTGCCAGCCATGTTTTTCTAACCTGTTTGACCAGTCATGTGATGTAGATCCCTCATGCCCAAACAAGCATGGGAAGTTACTGTACTACTGTAAAAGAATTTGTTAATATTGCGTCGACAATCAGATTACTGTAGTTATTGAGCTGTTACTTGTGATTACTAATGAAAACGTTTCTGAAACCCATGTTAGATGGACAACTCAAGGATAGACAGTGAATTCTCTCTGTTTATAAGTGTTAGCTTTAAAGGGATAGTTCACTTTAAAATTAATTTTTGGTATGTTTTAGCTTACCTCAAGGGCATCCAAGATGTAGGTGTCTTTGTTTTCACAGTAGATTCAATTTTGATATTTTTAGGTCAAACCGTTCTTGTCTGTCAGTCATATAATGCAGGTCTATGGTCACCACCTCAAAGAGTATGCACAGAGAAGTCCAAATTAAACGTAATTAAATGTAAGTACACATTGATGGCATAAGACACAAAACGAGAGGTTTGTGTGAGAAAACTAACAGTATTTATATCGTTTTTACCTCTTGTAACCACAGCCACGTCCAAGTGAATTGAGGGCGCAGGTGCTTTGTGGATGTGGTTACAAGAGGTAAAACGATATAAATACTGTTCGTTTTCTCACACAAACCGCTCGTTTCGTGTCTTAGGCCATCAATGTGTACTTGCATTTAATTACGTTTAATTTGGACTTCTCTGTGCATGCTCTTTTAGGTGGTGACCATAGACCTCCATTATATGACTGACAGACAAGAACGGTTTGACCTAAAAATATCAAAATTGAAACTACTGTGGAAACAAAGACGCATACATACCAAAAAAATCTTTCAAAGTGAACTATCCCTTTAAGCAATAAGGTTGAAGGTGCTTTGCTACATTGTAAATAATTCGGCTAAAAGCATATAATACCGTGATACAGTATTATTAAGTGTTATTTACCTTGACTAATTGAATATTCTTGCTTTAGATCTGGGACACAGCAGGCCAGGAGAGATTTCAGTCTCTCGGCGTGGCTTTCTACCGAGGGGCCGACTGTTGCGTGCTGGTCTATGATGTCACGGCACCCACTACATTCAAGACTATGGACAGCTGGAGGGACGAGTTTCTCATTCAGGCCAGTCCACGTGACCCAGAGAACTTCCCATTTGTTGTGCTGGGAAACAAAATCGACCTGGAAAACCGACAGGTCAGTGTGCAGACCAAAATGAAGCGGCAATGATGCAAAGATCGGTTTTAAAGAGTTGAAAATGAGTAGAATGAGTGCTTGAGCTATGTGTTTCTCAATGGTCGAGATATGGATTTTTTTTAAAGGGTTAGTTCACCCAAAAATATCCCATAATTCACTCACCTTCAAGCCATCATAGCTTTATATGACTTTCTTCTTTCAGCCAAACACAATCAAAGTTATATTAAAAAATATCCTGGCTCTTACAAGCTTTATAATGGTAGTTTATGGGAACTGATATTAAATATGCCTTCTGAAGCGAAGCCACGTGTTTTTGTAAGAAAAATATCCATATAGGGTCAGAGGTCACTCTTCAGCCAGAACTCGACTCGCGTACGGCCGTTACTGGAAGCCAGTGATTATACAGTAGTTCATAAAGTTATAAATACTGTATAGATATCTTTCTCACAAACACGCATCACTTGACTTCAGAAGGCCTTTATTAACTCCTTGGAGCCATAGAGGTTACTTTTATGATAGATGAGTAAATTATGGGATCATTTTTATTTTTGAGTGAACTAACCCTTTAATGGTAGCCAAAGGTCAATATGTTTAAAAATAATAATAATAATAATAATAATAATAGTACTTTAATTCAGTAAGGATGCATTAAATTGATCAAAAATGGCAGTAAAGACTATTCCAAATCAAATAAATGCTGTTCTTTTAAACTTTATTCTTTAAAGAATCTTGAAGCAAATGTATCATGGTTTCCACAAAAATACTGTTTTCAACATTGATGATGATAATAAATGTTTCTTAAGCATCATATTAGAATGATTTCTGAAGGATCATGTGACACTGAAGACTGGAGTAATAATGCAGAAAATTAAGCTTTGATCACAAGAATAAAATACATTTTCAAATATATTACAATAGAAAATTTTAAATTGTAATAATAATTCACAATAGTCCTGTGTTTACTGTATTTTTGAACAAATACATACAGCCGTAGTGAGCATAAGAAACTTCAACAACATACTTTTTTTTTACTAAGTCTAAACATTTTAGCAGCAGTACATACAATTGCTTAAGTTAAAATACCTAATGAATTGGTGAAAATATTTAAAAAGCAAAAATAAAAATTGTAGCAGACGAGATTGAAGTCCTTTCACGCGACTCACGATGAGATTTCAACGCCGCATTGACCTCCACATGAAAAGCATTGCAGATAGAGTCACTGCCGTTTTAACTGTTATTCATTTCCAGGATATGAATTCTTGATATCAACAATTGAATTGCTGATATCTGAAATTGTATTTTTACTAGAGAAATGTCACCATAGGCTGCCATTCAAAATCAATTGTTGATAAATATTTTTTAACATTAAAATTTATTACAATTTTAAAATTTATTTAATATTTTTAATATTTTTTAATATTTTTTTCTTTTTAAATATTTTACAGATGGAATCTAGCTTAAGCTAAATCTGGTGCAAAGCATCTTTAATTAATGTTTTTTTGCACATTGTCCCTGTTGAAATAAATAAATAAATAAAATGAAATGAAATAATATCAAGAATTGTTTTTTACTAGTAGAAAGATCATTTTTATATCAATAATTACATTGTTACTAGCGAATTCCTGATATCAATAATTAAATTGTCACTAGTTAAAATGTCTATTCTTGATATCAACAATTCAATTGCTACTAGTAACAATGTTCATTTTTTTATATCAAAAATTTAATTTGTACTAATGACATTGTTCATTTCTGATATCATGAATGTGATTGTTACTAGTAAGAAAGCTATTTTAGATATCTGAAATAATATTGATATCAGAAATACATTTTCAGACTATAGTAGCAATTGAATTGTTGATATCAGGAATTCACATTTTTACTGGTAACAATGCAATTATTGATATCAAAAATGATATTTCTACTAGCAAAAACTCAATTCTTGATATCAACAATTGATTTTGAATGGCAGCCTATGGTGACATTTCACTAGTGAAAATACAATTACAGATATCAGCAATTAAATGCTTGATATCAAGAATTTATATCCTGGAAATGAATAAAAGTTCAAATGGCTTGCCGTACACTGGGCAGCGGTTGAACAAGGTTGTTTGGTAGCAAGCAAACTGGACGTACACATGGTAAGCAATGAGGACAGACCGGTTTCTGAGCTTAAATCAGGGATAATTCCTGCTGTTTGCTTTGATACATCTGAGAAGTCACATTCATTTCCTCTGAATGTCACGATCTGCCTTTGCTGTTCTGTCGGCCATCTTGTTTTGATGTTTGTATCATGCAGATTGTGTGGTAATCATGGGCTGTGCTTATAAAGGTAATGAGGCAAAACTGAAATCGTTTGAACTTTGTCAGCATGGCAATGTTTGACCCGTGCGCAATGCGGCATCAGACGTAATGCTGTTGCTTGACTCTCCAGAGTTCAGTGCAGGGGGAATGCCAAGTCAAGTCACCTTTATTTATACTGCGCTTTGTACAATAAAGATTGTTTCAGAGCAGCTTTACAGAGATAGCAGGAAATGATGCGTTTCGGCTGCTGTTCAGTCAATTCCATGCTGGTTAAGATCGGTTGTAAAGATTATTAAAGTAGTTCATTTCATCTATGAAGCAGTTCTGCAAAAGAGGATGTCGTCGTCCTTCTCAGATCAAGTCAGATCAATAATATGCTTGAAAATTAAGTTCAAATTAAATTATATTATTAAAGTTGAAAATAACTGTTTTCTATTGTAAAATATGTTGTATTCCTGTGATCTTCTACTGTATGTCACATGATCCTTCAGAAATCACTCTAATATGATGATTTGCTGCTCAAGAAACATTTCTGAAAACAGTTGTGCTACTTTATATTTTCGTGGAAACCATGATACTTATTTTTTTTGTGGTAATATTATAAATGTCTTTACTGTCACTTTATATCAATGTAATTGTAATATATCCTTGCTTAGTAAAAGTAGCGGACGCCCAACTTTTGAACGGTACTACTGTATGTAAAATGGATCTTACTGACCAATGATCTAAAAAATAAGAAGTCTTAAAAGTCTTAATTCACTCTTACACAATTTAAGGCCTTAAAAAGGTCTTAATTCAGAGCTGAATGTCTTAAATTCACAAAGTCAGGACATTTAATGTTGCATGCAGTGCAGAAAATGAATATCTTCTTCAGTGTACGCTTGTCCTGTTTTCCAATACAAATATCGAAACATTAAATCAATGTCAAATGCAAGGTTTAAAAAACTGAATAAAATTAAGTGAGTTTATGCTTAAAATAAGAACAAATTTCTGTATAACTTCACTTTGAATTAACCCTTCGGAGTCTTGGGCTATTTTGGCCCTTTTTGAGTACTTTTTAAATTTTTTTAATTTTGCGACATAAACAAACGTTTACCATACCAATTTTTGGTGTCATTTTTTTCAGCACAACATCACCTATATGACCAGACAATTAGTTTATCACTTTGATGTACTGTATCAACATACTGGACCCAAAATCACACCAAAAAACACAAAATCCGAATAGAAATGTTATAGCTTTTCTACTACAAAAAACACAAACATGCTCAATGAAGCATTTTAAAAGGTTTAAAATGTAAACACAAGTTGTAAATGTCAAAATATACAGGTAAAATTTAGATATAATCAAGCTATATACAAAAAAAAAATGATTTACAAAAAAAGCGAGTGTAGCCGTAGGCTTTTTTTTTTAATTCATTTTAGCTTTGCCACTTTAAAAAAAAAAAAAAAAATGTGCACACAAATATACAGAGAGCTATATTTAAGGCTTTGCATTTAACTTTATAAAACCTCCAGAAATATGAGCCCTGAATAGGCAAATATCAAACAATATAACAGAACTAGAACTTTTCCTATCAAGAGCATATTAAGTGATGTAATAAAATAAGTGATTTTTTTTTTTATTGCCAGTTTTTCAGATTGAATTCATCATTTCCTTTGTATTTTGAACAGGTAACAACGAAGCGGGCACAAGCATGGTGTCAGAGTAAGAACAACATCCCCTATTTTGAGACCAGTGCTAAAGAAGCCATTAACGTGGAGCAGGCCTTCCAAACCATTGCTCGCAATGCACTTAAACAGGTAGAGAAAGTTACGAATACTACAGATTAACTTTCACTTTGCAAATAATCAGTCATTTATCACCTTATTTGAGAGATTCACCCCAAAATAAATACATTTCACTCACAATAATGTTGTTTCAAAACCTTTAAAGGGATAGTTCACTTTGAAATTAATTTTTTGGTATGTTTTAGCTTACCTCAAGGGCATCCAAGATGTAGGTGTCTTTGTTTCCGCAGTAGTTTCAATTTTGATATTTTTAGGTCAAACCGTTCTCGTCTGTCAGTCATATAATGGAGGTCTATGGTCACCACTTCAAAGAGCATGCACAGAGAAGTCCAAATTAAACATGATTTAATGATTTGAGGTGGTGACCATGGACCTGCATTATAGAGAACGGTTTGACCTAAAAATATCAAAATTGAAAATACTGCAGAAACAAAGACACCTACATCTTGGATGCCCTTGAGGTAAGCTAAAACATACCAAAAATTAATTTCAAAAGTGAACTATCCCTTTAAGACTCTCTTCAATGAAACACAAAAGGAGACGTTTAACAAAATGTTCACACTGCTCTTTTCAGAACAAAAAGCACCATAAAAGTAGTTTCTACAACTCATGTGCTTTATTCCAAATCCTCTAAAGTGAGGCTTATTAGGCTGCTGTCACTTTAATATCTAATACACATCCAATATAAAGATATGAATGAGAACTGAATTTGGTGTTTGAACAGCTTGAACTTATTTTCTTGCCGTTTATTTTACTGCCCTGAAAGTGTATGGGCGTCAGAAACCCCAAACTCGGCAGGATAGTCCCAATTGTGCTCTCAGACACACACCGTCCGACACTATTTGAAACCCTAAGGGCCTGAAACAAAGGGATTGCTTTTGCCGAATCCTTGAGGCAAGCCACTCACATTTCATTTCCGTCCAAACAATCTTGCCACCATGGACTTCTCATTTTAAGTCCACTGTGGTTTTCAGTCCACACATACGCCACACACACATACTAACTTTCAGTGATGAAGATGGACTTTGCTGTAAAAAACCACATCATAAGATCAATTTCAACTGGATCGCTATTCATCCACATGGGCTAATAGTGCTCAGACTGCTGTTTGTTGCTTACGGCTATATGTATTACAAAAGGGAGACCCATATCAAGTTTGTTATAATAGAGCATTTGTTCATGAGATGGTTATTATACAGTGAAAATATCATTCTGTTGCAATCCTTGTCAAAGGTGCAGTCACATTAGCAAAGTTTTGTGGGCATAAAGTTTCATTGTCTATTGTCAGTAATGTAATGATGTATGAAGCACAGCTCACACCAAAGTCAATTCGGTGAATCCGTGTGACAGGCTTGTGAAATCTTGTGCTCTCACACAAACTGCCCAATCACAGGGATTCCTATTGAAATGACTATCTGTAGGCTTACGTCACAATACCACAACATCCAATAGGAAAATTCAACTGCAGTAGCCATCGTTCAACCTGAAGAGGGCAGCATTCAGACGTTTTTACACCATATATTGTAGAATTAAAAAACTTTAAACCCAAATGTCAAAAAAATGTACTCGAATCAATGAACAACATTAATAAAGCCCCAGTCTTACAGATCATTAACGTATATAAGTTGTTTTATGGTTTAAATATGTCATTTTGGTGATCAAACATGAGTTTTAAGGGATACAATTATTGATTTTAGTATTTTTTTGTCACAAAGATATGTTATGACTAGTGTATTAGTAATGTGAACTTCTTTAATGGCATATCCGAGCTGTTATATGCGGGAAAGTGCAGCGTGAACATTCTGCAAAATTTCTCCTTTTTTTATTTTCACGAAATAAATGAATTAATGATCACTGAATTTTCTGTTTACCTGGCTGGGTTTTGCCGTTACAAAAAAAACACTTAATCTGAAATGAATTTAACCTTTCAGGAGACTGTGGACACATATGATTTCCCTGACCAGATTAAACTAAGAGACGACAGACCTGCGTCCACCAGTGACGGCTGCAGCTGCTGAAGGACAGATGAAACTGGGGAGGGAAGAGAAAGAGCAAAATGGGAAAGAAATGAAGAGAGGGAGAGATGGAAGAGATCCAGGCCTGTAATTCTCCCCTTTTCCCCCTTTGAAACTCCAGGGTGTCAAAGCCACATGTGAAAGCAAGAACATCCATTTTCTTGCTGAACTCCAAGTCACGTGTGGTCCGATGGACTATTGAGGAACAGGAAAGTTCTCTGACATTGCATTTATTTCAAGTCCTACTATCACTACAGCTGTGGAAGAATTTCCTTGTCACTACTCCAGCTGTCTTTGCAAGTTTTCCTTTACTCCGAAATGTTCCTTTTCATGTCTGCTAGTTCATTGTGCCTTTATATTTTGTAACTTTTTAGTTATTGTTGTGTCACTCCTATGCTGAATGAACATTTGTTGGAAATGCATACATATGTAATAGGGCTGGGAAATATATTAAACAGTTATAAAAATGTATACATTTTGTCTGTGGAATAAAACTAACCCAACATTTTTTTTTTCAATGATTTTTATTTTTTCTGCAATAACTTCAAAGTAAAAAATGCAGATGTGTGTTAGGAATTAAATTTATTCCAAATTTATTCAAATCCGTGTTTTGCAACATCGCTCAAAAACGAAAGTCCCCATTTTGCATTTCACAATTTTAAATGTTTGGGTAAAATGTATGTACAAGCAGTAGTAAATGATTGTTTTTTTTATTACTGAGCACATAAATAAAAATGATGAAATATATTTCCCAGTGTCCATATAGGGAGAAGGTGTGGTGATTTTTAACTTGATTTTTACTGTATTTACCGTTTACACGACTTCTGAAAACAGGATTCAAAGTGCAAGTATTAGTAGCGTCTCCATGTAAACAACATAAACTTGACTTCGTGCGCATGTGTATTACGTGTTCAGTCTATTAGCGCGTAGTGTTACTTTACAAAGTGACGTCGCCAACCATGGCCTGGCAGCAGAATACAAGCGTTTTAATCGTTTTCACAATTTGACAATGGTGTCGTCTGTAAGTGGAAAACCCAGTTTTTCAGTACATCATCGTAATGAAAACATCCCCTTAAAATCTACTTGGCAACCATTGCGATTTGTTTGGAGATTTCTCTCTAGATACCTCCTATGTAATACGTCATGAATTAAGGGTGAATCGGGATTTGGTGACGGGGTAATGGGTATTAACTCGGGTAATGTGTTCTGACATTTGGTAAGTTCACGTCGACATCACATCCGATTATATTAGTCTTGGTTGGATTGTAAGTTCTTCTAAAAGTGTTTTAGAGACACTTTCTGTCTCTGAAACAGATTTCTTAAGAATGTTAACAACCACGCCATTTAGAATGGTTACAAAACGTCATCTTTTGCACATGTAGAGCTGTTGTAAATGAGCGTTCATGAAGAGTTATGTGTTTTGATTTGCCTTTGGACATTTACATGTTAAGCTTGTGTTCAATAATATATATCCATACTCAACTCAACCCAAGAGCTCCTCCAGTTTATATGCCAAAATGCATAAAGAAAAAAAAATCTTTTTTTTTAACATTGGCCAAATGTTAGAATGACATCAAAACCAAAAAAACATAAATAAAGATGCATTTACAACCAAGCTGTCTGTCAATTCCACTCGATTTTCTTTCTTTCTTTTTTTTTAAAGCAAGAAAGTGATCAAGCTGATCGAGAACACCTTTTATTATCATCGTTTAAACATTTGCACACAATATTTACAAAGTTGCAGTAAAAGCACCACCGGTTTCCTCTGATGGGAAAGCGACGGTAAGCATCGTGGCCTCTTGAACATCAGAAGCCCAGTCTGATGTGAGGGGGACGTCTGACTTTTATTTTCCTCCATAGAAGTCCATATGAAGTACATCCTACTCCCTGGGCTGGACTTCTCAAACCATGTATGTGGTAGGAGGAGTTCAATGGAGCTGGAGTTTCTCTGTCAGTCTAGTGTGTTTTAGTCCATATATGAGGTATCCATGGCCTCTGTCTCGGGGTGGAGCAGGCGGCTGGCCAGACGCTCGATGTCATCCAGACTGAGCTGTCTGAGGGAGCGCTCATAATCCTGAGGGGAAGACAAGATCTGTCAATCAAGTGGCGAAGTTATGACGTCACTCTGTAGGCCAAAATGCGGAAGTGAGTTAGCATTTTAGCACTTCCCTTGCTCTAAAGTCTATGGGTGTTTTGAATGGGTTTTTGCTAAATCGCCTGAAATAAGGTCTGTGGTGAACAAAGCCTCTAAATATTTTCACGTTTTGATCTCTGACAAAACACACCAGTTATAACCTGCTTGTTTTTTTATACTTTATGTAGGCTTCAAAATGTATAAATTTTGGATTAACTTGTAAAGATTTTCTTGATAGCCAATACATGTATGGGTCACAGCTCTTATTTTTTGCGATTTTCCAAAAGTCTATGGGAAAAATGCATAGCTTTTCGATCGAGGGAACCCACGCGCCGCTAGCTTCCGAGCGGTCCTACAAAGTGACGTCATCACTTCCTTAATTCCTGGCCAAATCAAACACTCAAATGTTGTACTACTCTCATCATGGCCAATGATTTTATAAAACATTTATGATGCTCATTTCTTACACATTCAACAAATGTAATATTATTACGTAATTCTGCTTTCTACGGGCTGAGCAGTGTTGTTATTGTCAACTAAAACTATTAATTCATTGACTGACAAAGCTAAAATAAAATGTAAATATTACAACTTGAAAATTAGAAATTGCGTTTGCAACTGAAAGTTAAAGTAGTAAAAATATAAAGAAAAGCACATAAAATGAACTGAAAAATTAAAACATAAAAATAACATTTCATAACATATAGCATATAAATAAAATAACACTAACACTAAAATAACACTGATTCCATTGAAATAAATAGAATAATTCCATTATTCTAAATATATAAAAGCAAACGTGCACAAAAATAATGTGTTTTTTTTTAATACAAGTAGTATAGAGCCCAAAAACAAAATCACAACTTTGAAAAAGGACACACTGTATAAGGTCCTCTTTAAAGGCCCACTGAAGTGTATTGAAACACGCAGCTTTGTATGATGCATTGACGTCATTTCCACTAAAACAATAAAACAAAGCGGGTCATATTGAATGGCTCCTCCCCCTCCTCAAATAGCCAATAGCGTTTAGTTTACCCCACAAACTGCGAGTCGTACTTGACAGCACCATGCAAGGGAATCCGAGCGCTGATGATGCGTTTGATTCAATAATAGAGGTGTGAAAAATTTCTAGCGATTTCATTCTTAACCGACGTACAGTTGGAAAACGGATTAAAACTTGAGCGTTTGAGCAACCGAACACACACTCCAACCCATATTGCTCTGTGACGTGTGTCAATGTGGTGTTTATAGCATAGGGGGCGGAGCTTCAAATTCTAGAGAGCATTTGATGGATGTGACGAGAAGCTGAAGTCCGTGGTGATGTCATAAACATCTGTGATCCAATTTAGCAGAAGTGAGAGACTAAGTTTTGAACCCTTATATCTCCTAAATGCGAATTTTATAATTGTTTTGGAAAACACCAGCTTATAACTTTAAATACTAAAAGCTAAAAAATGTATTTCAAGGAGCCTTTAAGGTCCTTGGGGTCGAAAAGTAAAAAATAAATCTAAATAAACTTTACCACAAAAGACATTAAAATGACAACAACAAAAGGTAATGAAAAGAAAAAGAAAGATAGATCATATTTGTGTCTGTATGTACCTTAATAAGTTGCTCCTGCACTTTTGCAGCATCGGCAGGGCTGAAGTGTTTGGCCAGGACAGTTGACAGTGACTGCCATACACCACTGCCCGCTCTGTCATTACTCCAGCCGCTGGTCCCCCCCGCGCCACTGCTCCTCTCTCCCGCGGGACGCACCACCAGATTCAGCTTAGCCTCCGGGCCAATCGAGTAATCACTCAACCTGTGTTCATCTGGAAACACCAAAACAACCGTCAACACACCGCGCACACACACTGGCCATGACCGGAGGAAAATCCAAATATGAAGAGTGTTATAGTGTTACCTTAATAATGAATGTATGTTTACTGATCAAGCTTTTACCTGCGAGTGCTTTTCCTTTATACAGGAGTCTCTGCTGACTTGGAGGGATGTTTAAACGCTTTGATACCAACTCTTTTACCGTCGATACCTTTTCATTTTCTGTCACCTGTGCATCAAAAGAACACATCTGCTGACAAAAGTCTTGTTTTTATATTCACTGGCAGAGATCATATTTATACACATGACTTGTATTTGTATAACTGAACCGATTGCTTTCTGTGTAGAAGTCTAAGTGGGGTTATTTGAAGTTTTTTCTTTTTTTTAAAGAAATATTGCAGTATTCACTATAAATTAGGTCTGTGTGTGCACATCATTATAAAAAAAAAAAATCATGTGGCATTATCTAACCTGTCACTCACATGATATCTACCAATAGCAAACCACAACCAAGTCCCGCCCTACATTTGTTCTTGTTCGAGAAGCGGTTTCACTCGGATACACGTCACAACAGGGAAGAAAAAACTATTGTGACTTCTGTTTCATTCCGAAGTAAGTCGAAAAAAACACTTTACTGAAACATGTTACTTATAAAATAAAAGTTAAAGGGTTATTTCACACAAAAAAGGACAATTCTGAATTTTCAGTTAATTTAGGCTAGGTTTTTATTCTCATTTAAACATTAATCAGCAGCGAGCTAAACAGCAACTGCTTGCCTCACGCGATCATATCTCATTGGTTCTTGCAGAAGCTCAAACGTGCGAGAATTGAACCTCGTTAGTTTTGGGGGTGAACTAACTCTTTAACTGACGTAAAATATTTTACCAAAACATTAAATTAATTTTTAATTTTAACTAGTTACTGAGGCAGTATTTCACAGTTTGATTTAGTTTACCTTGCCTGCTTAAAAATAGAACTGGAACTAAGATAAATAAATATGCAAAAATTTAATTGAAAATGTATAAAACATTTCCTCTTTAATGCTAAAATAACACTGTTACAAAACAAACAAAAACACCAATAAGGTACTAATACAGTAACTAGTAAATGGGCATATCTAATCAATTAACTGACAACTCGTTTGCATGATCCAACTAGTTTAATGCCACTGACCGTGACTCAGAATTTATTGATCTATTATTTCTGTGAATCACAAACACGTTCAACATTGCATGCCATCTAGGTAGGGAGCTCAATATGTTTGGAGACACTGACTATTGTGTCGAGGACAAAATAACCGCGTCTAAAGAGTGTAAATCGCTTCTAATGAGCTACAGCATAAATTAGTGGCTGCATCATAAACTATAGATCACTGGCTAGCACATGTTAGCATTACATATACAACATAAAGATGAATGGAAAGCTGCAGCACAGCGCTATGCTAAAGCAGCTAACACAGCCACATTACTAACCTACTTCAAAACCCCAGACGACTCACAAGCTTACCTGAACATTACACTCTTTTCCTTGAAGAGGTTTTACAGTAAGAATCATCTTTACATTTATAAAAATTAAATACAAAACAAAGAAGAGATAATTATCTCGCTGGACATTCGTGGACTAGCAGCCGACGTTTCCCACGGACATGACGTCAATGACACTGCAACTGCGCATGCGCGGTGAGTGCGCCTCACCCAACTCAAGAACGTGCTTTTTTTTAGTGACTTGACAAACAGGAAAACTATTATTATATAGATACATTTACAACTAAAACTCACATTTAATATGTTCAATAAAAATGAATATGTGACGTTTGCCTTTCCTAAAATACAGAAAATGAATCTATGAGGCTGTTATAAATGTTGGCTGCATCACCAAACATCACCAAACAGGACTGGAGACCTTCTGAGTGGGAGTTCACTTTAAAAAAAACTTTTGCTCATAATTTACTCACCCTCATGTCATCCAAGAAGTCCATGTCTTTCTTTCTTCAGTCGAAAAGAAATTAAGGTTTTTGATGAAAACATTCTCCATATAATGGACTTCAATGGGAACCAATCGGTTCAAGGTCCAAAAGACCTTGGAGGGCTTTAAACTATTCCAGACGATGAATAAGGGTCTTATCAAGCAAAACGATCACTATTTATTTTTTTAAATAACGAAGTTTAATTTTTATAAGCTCAAATGGTCGCCTTTCTCTGTTCTGTGATGCACGTTCGTGACTGTTTGAACTCATTCATCAAAATGAACTAATCTTTTTCCGAGTCAATTCATTCATTTCGTTTGTTGAATCAACCAAATGACGTGAAAAAAAGATTTGTTTCACTTGAATAAGACCCTAATTCATTGTCTGGAATCGTTTAAAGCCCTTTGAAGCTGCACTGAAACTGTCTTTTGGACCATGAACCGTTTGGTTCCCAATGAAGTCAATTATATGAAGAAAAATCCTGGAATGTTTTCATCAAAAACCTTAATTTCTTTTCGACTGAAGAAAGAATGACATGGGCATCTTGCATGACATGGGGGTGAGTAAATTATCAGCAAGTTTTTTGAACTACTCCTTTAAGTAAAGTAGGCACAGTAGACATCATCTATGTTTAATGAGAACGAACTGGGAGTATAAATTAAATTACGAAGGCATATCTACATGTAGGCTACTTACTATATTAGTTTAGGGTTAGCTGCATGCAATTATGCATAATTTATAGTTATTACTACGGAGTAATTACATGTAATGTGTGTAACAAGAACACTAAAATAAACTGTTACCAAAAAGTGTTACCCAGACCACAAGATCATAACTAAACCTTTCATTTTTTTTAATTTGTTACATAAAAAAACACACATACTTAAGGAGGAAAAAAATATTTTATTTATCTGAATAACACATTATGAATTATACAGTCAAATGTTCATACATTATGGATAGAAAGTAAGCTTCCATTTCTAAGGCTTTTTCATTTTTAGTCTAATTTTTAACCCAACTTTTAATTTTTAATCGTTCATGATTTTGCCATGAACGTCTTTGATTTATGGTAAATTACAAAAAATAAAAATGCATTCTGGAAGCTAAAGGCTGTTGAAACATTATAAACATGTTTGAACCAGATTGCAAGAATTATGCCAGTAAAATTGATAAAGTAAAAGTCACTAATCCTGACTCTTCAAATTAATTATATTTCAAACAAAAGTAATTTAGTTGTACAAGTGCACACGAATACTAAATCAAGGCAAGCTATTTCACACCCAGTGATTACAGGAAATAAGAGTGCAATACAGGTATATGAATGTTATTCACATATATCAGTCACCCTACTAAATAATAATAATTATAATGATAATTCATAGCATTTATATATGTGACGGCAGCCATAATGCGCCAGAACACCCACACACTAGCTTACTGGCGGAGAGGAGACAGTGATGAAGCCAATCGGTATATATAGGGATGATTAGGAGGCCATGATGGACAGAGGCAAATTTGGCCAGGATCCCGGGGTTACACCCCAACTCTTTTTCGACAGGACATCCTGGGATTTTTAATGACCACAGAGAGTCAGGACCTCGGTTTAACGTCTCATTTCGAAGGACATGTCAATTGAGCTCAAAGAAAAAAAATGTAAGAAAAAAATCAATCCAAAAAAAAAAATCAATGTCATACATCAAAAGAAATTAGGAAGTTAGACATTTCAGTTAGACTTTATTTTAAGGTGTCATTGTTACAGTGTAATTATATATTTAAGTACTAAGTAATATTAATGAACTACATGTACTTAATATAGGGTTAGGGAGGATTAGGGTTTGGCTGAGTGTAATTATGTATTATTTACTGTTATTGCTATGGTAAGTACATGTAACATATGTAACAATGACACTGTGAAATAAAGTGTTACCGATAAATTTCTCTGCATCCTCTTAAAAACATATTGCCATTGAATCTAATCAGCACAGGCAGCATATCGTACAGCAGGGGTGTCCAATCTGGTTCAGGGGAGTTTAATTAGAGGAGATCAACTCTGCTGGACGCTGACCTTCCAAAAACAGGATCAGACACCTCTGTCCTAAACAAAGAAGTTGAGCAAGTACATGAGGGGTGTCCAATTCCTGCTTCTGGAGGGAAACTATCCAGCAGAGTTTAGCTCCAACTCTATTCCATCTGATCGAGGCCAATCTGATTCAGGAGGATAGAAACTCCCAGGCAGGGGTGAGATTGAAGCTGGAGCAGGATTGGATACCCCGAAATTACATGATGAATTCAAAGCAGATGCAAATGCACAAGTGTACATTTTGGAGAAAATGGGAGTGAGGAAGAACTGTTGTTTTCTGGAATCTGTGAAAAAAAAAGAATACAGTTCATGATAAATGATCCTGCTTACAATACTGTATATTTTTTAACACAGTAACTGAAAGTAACTGAAATACATAAACCAAACAATTTTTTTTACAGGATATGCTGTACATTACATATAGTATGCATTAAATTACAAAACAACAATTACTATTATCCAACATTCAAGCCATTTTTTTTTTTTCAAAACTAATAATAATATGACCAGAACTTACTGTTGCATGTTCACATGTCAGGCTCTACAAGAGAGAAAAACAAACATTAATTGAATTTTTTAATTAATGATCACAATGTTTTTCTCTGCAGTGAATTATTGGCTGTTCACTTGAGCATGAAAAAGCGAAAAATGATAGATAGATAGATAGATAGATAGATAGATAGATAGATAGATAGATAGATAGATAGATAGATAGATAGATAGATAGATAGATAGATAGATAGATAGATAGATAGATAGATAGATAGATAGATAGATAGTTGATAGATAGATCGATAGATAGATAGTTGATAGATAGATAGATAGATAGACAGTCACTGTATAGATAGATAGATAGATAGATAGATAGATAGATAGATAGATAGATAGATAGATAGATAGATAGATAGATAGATAAACAGTAACTGTATAGATAGATAGATAGATAGATAGATAGATAGATAGATAGATAGATGATAGATAGATAGATAGATAGATAGATAGATAGATAGATAGATAGATTTTTTTTTCTTTTGTCCTGAAACTAAATCAGTTTAGAACCACTGAACCTATGCCATAATAAACATGAAGGAGAGGAATTAAACTCTAAGATCCAGTAAACAGACGTCTAAGAAAGTGAAAAATCCCAAACAGATCCTAAATATCAACATCAGGCACTTTCTGGAAGTCAGAGAAACATAAATAGAAAATCTAGAGCAAAGCAGTGACCAGTTAAAACTTGAGATCTGTTCTCACCCCACATGAAAATCTTTGGGTCTGCCCCCATGTGACTGACACTGCAGGAGTAATGCTCTCCGGACTTGGGATTAAATTCAACATATCTGGTCAGGTGGAACTTCCAGCCCGCTTCAAAGGCCAGGTCGGTCTGTTTGCTGTTTGGGATCTCCACCCCGTTCTTGAGGAGCTTAATGGAGATGTCAGGGGGGTGAAAGCCACTCACATAGCAGATCAGCACGTTTTCTTTGCCGTACTCCCCAGGGTGGCGGCTGTACACTTGCACAGTTGGGTCAGCTAGAGACAACACAAAAAGGAAAATTGTTATTTTAAAATCTGAATAGGCCTGTTTATACTAATATAGTGCAGTATTGCGTTTGGATGTATTCTACTTAAGAATTCTACTTTCTATAATATTTCGTTATTATGGCAGTAATTTTACACACAATAAAGTGTATAAATGAATTATTATAATTTAACAATAAAATAATTGATTAAATAACATGTTATCATGAGTCCCTTGAAAGAAACTTGATAACTACCAACAATTAATATCCAGTCAAACGAGTTTATCTAAATGATCGCATGGTTTTCCCCTAAGTGAAAGTGAAAGTAAAATGTTCTGGGGGTTTTAGACAGACAAACATGTCTTAGGCATGTTTGAATAACATTATTTTTGACGGATTTCCACATCCTATGTATAGTTACAAAATATATATGTTTGATAATATAACCATTTTAAAGGATTTTAAAACCTCCGCATTCCTCGCGCTACCTGAAAGTGCGTCATGGCCTAAAGTCGGAAAACATAATCATTCTTAAAACTACTGAAGGATTCAATACATTTGATATATAAATATTCCGTACAAAGCATTAAAACAGAAAACATTAATAATAGCATAAGAAGATTGGCAGAAAACCTTTGTCAAAAAACAGAAGCGTTTTATACTTACTTTTTTTGGCAGAGCAACTGGCGCTCAGAAACACTAGAGCGACCACAGCGAGTTTAAACCACATGATTTTCACAGCAGTAATGTCTCAGTTTTCTATAATTCTTTTCAAAGTTATGGCCTTGGTCGAGTTCACGTCTTGTCTTTTGCTCTCTCTGACTAAACAACACAATAAAGGGAAACACGGAAGGGGGAAACATACGGGTCACCATATTAAACCCCGCCCTCATTTTTTTTTTTTTTAACAAATCATATATTGGCTTTTTCTGTTGCTGGGTGAAAATGGCGCTCTGATGGTTTGAATCAGATGACTTGCAGTAGTCAACATGAAATAAAAATCGAGCCTTTTCTTTTTTTAATACTGCATTATTCATTATAAATTATTTATTCGTGCACATCTTTTTATTGTTTTCAATTCATGTGCCTCATAATCTTTAATCAAAATAAATTCCTTGCAAAATTCTTGCAACAACATTTCTTCTCTGGTGACCTGAAAACTGGCGTGAGGGCGGAGCAACCTGTCAAACATGAGATCGACCAATAGCAAACCACAACCATCCAATTAGATTAAATTCGCCATAGACCACCAGAGGCGTTGACAAAATCAAGTCCCGCCTTACAATTTCTTCGTTCAAAATGTATGTTCGCACCTCCCATAAGGTTCATAATTAATGTGAATAATGTAGGCTAATTGGCTTTATGCACAGCTGCACTACTTCCTGCACTTCAGCCAGTTCCTTGTTTCCTGTCCCATTATTGGACAAACTGATTAATCCAGGTGTGTCTGACTTCAGTAGTCACAACAACAATAATCAGGCACACCTGAATTTAATCAAGTTTGTCCAATAATGGAAGAGAGGAAACAAGGAGCTGGCTGAAGTTCAGGAAGTAGTGCAGCTGTGCATAAAGCCAATTAATTATAAAGTGAAGATCATGGTCAAGTTTAAATAGAAAAGTTTCAGCAGTTTTTATTAGGAGAAAACATTTGTTTACACTCACCTAAAGGATTATTAGGAACACCTGTTCAATTTCTCATTAATGCTTATCTAATCATCAACCAATCACATGGCAGTTGCTTCAATGCATTTAGGGGTGTGGTCCTGGTCAAGACAATCTCCTGAACTCCAAACCGAAGCATTGAGAACTTTGTCAGTGTCCATACAGTTTAATAAGAAGATGTTTTATACAGTCAACTTCACGAATACAGGAAGAAGCCATCTTTGAAAAATATTAAGACTATTCTGAAGGCGAAAGGGGGTCAAACACAGTATTAGTATTGTGTTCCTAATAATCCAGGTGAGTGTAAAACTATCAAGCCAAATGCCTATTCTGCAAATTATTTCATTGACCTAATCTGTTTATAGCTACATCATGCCACATGTTTTCAGCATTGATAAATCATCTTTAAAGGACTACTGGAGTGCCTTGAAAAGCACAGCATTATTTAATGTGTTCTTGTAATTTCCTAAAAAAGGAAGACAGGATGGGACATATCAAACAGCTCCTCCCCTTTTGTAAAATAGCCAATAGCATTTCGTTTAGATCACAGCTCGACCAGAGCCATTGAGCTCAAACCATTTCTCCTCATAACCTCCTCCATATGTCTTTTACAATATAGCACTTTGTGCAGAGTTCAAATGAGTCCTATATATGTTTTGTGGTCTGCGGCGACTCGCGCATATTATGATCCGCTCTATCATCTAACGTGAAACCAGATTTCATTCGCTCCAAAAATATTTACACCGTCTGAATCTTTCCCTGTCCCCTATATAGTGCACTCTGTGCCATTCATTGTGTAAAAATCGCAATTGAGTGAACAAGTGATGGATTTTAGTTGCAGCTTTAGCGTCTATTTGGCGCTTCAGACTCCATGAGCATTTGATTGGATAGAAAATCTGATGAGAACCTGAAGTGCAGAGTGATGTCATCAAAATCATTGATCCATACTGGCAGAAATAAGTTTTGAATGTATATAATCTAAATGCGAATTTTGTTATTGTTTTGGAGCACACCAGCTTAGAGAGATAACAGTGCTTAACATAGGCTAGTCATAGCCTAAAAGCAAAAAAAAAAAAAAAAAAAAAAAATTGATTTCATGGGGACTTTAATGCAAGGTTGAATGCAATGAAAACCGTGTATTTTGTGTCATCAAATGCAAGTCATCTAGCCTAAACACCGTGGTCATGGTATTTAATTATCCGTGAATGTAGGCTAATTATTAGAATGAACCCTCCTACACCCCCCCCTCCCTCCCTCCCCTCCCTCTCTATCTCCCTTACACATACACACACACTCACACTCGCACTCATATCACCGCGAGTGCTGTGAAGACATGATTCAAACATTCACACTCTGGATTTTTCAAGTAGCCCATTCCACAAGCTGACCAGTCTGAGGGAAAACCGCCTTCGCCGTGTTTGTAATTCCCATGTTCCTCGATCGTATTATTCAGGTAATGTCTTCTTCTTTTGCTATACTATATTTAAACAAATTAAAAATAGGCGAAATTTGGTTTTGTTGTAGCTTCTTATGGCTTCTTATCTAGCGCTGCTTGCACCTTGTTATCAAAGTCGTCGAGCTTTAAAGACTTAAAATATAGCAGAGCAACTTGTGTTTTTTCTTCCATTCATTTATTTGGATTGTTCAGTTCTTTCGCTCCACACGTAGGCTCCAGTACCAGTCTATCCCCTTATATATATGTAGGGCTCATGGGCACTCTCAGAGATCTTCAGTTCGCACTTCAGTTGAAGATTGAGGAGTTACGGCAAAGAGATGCTCTTATCGACGAGCTGGAGCTTGAACTGGACGCTAAAGATGATCTGATACGACGCCTGCAGGGGGAGCTCGACCGTCTGCGCCTCTCCGCTCCAGGCATCTCAGCCTCAGCTGCCACTGCTGCCGGTACCATTCTTTTACAGTCTATGGCTGGTACTGCTTTTATTTTTTAAATGTCTTTTAAGCTAGCTACTTTTAAGCTATTGGCTGAGTCAGAAATACATTTTGACTAACTGGTTAAAAATATGTATAGGCCTATATATAAAAACGTATTATTAAAAACAATAATAAACAGTATAATAATCATTAAAAAATATATATTTTTAAAAATGTGTGTTAAAATGTGGCGGACGCAAATGAAACTCAGATGCCACATCCATTTTCACACACAGTGAAAAATCGAAACAAAGAGGACACTGACACTGACAGACCAGACAGAACACGTTATTTTTAAATGAAACAGAGTCTCAGCTTTCAAATTCTGCAAATTTTATTGTGAAATTCAAAAAATAAAAACTGCTTTTGTCACTCAAGCGTGAACCGATCATCTCTTCCTCTTTACTATTTGTTAATAGTAAATTAACACGAATGAACATCAGAAGGTATAATGAAAGATGCACATAGTGCACAGTGCATACCACTGTGTAGGTGGGGTGGTGCTAACACAGAAGCCGAAAATTGTCGGGACAGCAGCATTTATCCAAATTTCAATCTTAACCGTTCTATTTAATCAGAAGCTATCTTAAAACAGGGCTTTAAGTGTAAAATACCGAACTAACCCTTTAAAGACGTATCATATCTCATGTAATCTCTCAATCAGGGTTTCAACCGTGGAAAGAGGTCAAGAAAAGGAGAATCGCCGGTGCAACACATAAATCTTCTTAGTAATACATTTATTTGAGGTATAACAGTGACTAACGTTTCGATGTAAAGTTACATCTTCATCAGAGTCCTATTCAGGTCAATAATACAGTACATGTTACATTTACCTCAGAAAAGCCATTTTACGTTAGGATGTTTGTTATCTAGAAAACAGTACTATGCTGTATTATTACGTATTTATTATATCACATTTTATCATTATTTTATAGCCTATCACTTTAACATATTATAACGCTATTATTATAAAAAAAGCATATTAAAGACCCCTGTGGTGAAAATCAAGTTGTGTTTTTAATATGCTTTAAGACAAACCATGAGCAAATTCATAAGTCAACACTATTAAGTATTTTCTCCTTAAGGCATTAAGACGTTTTTTTCTCAGGAAAAAAAACGTTTAAATATGTCATTTTGGTGATTAACAATGAGTTCTAACTAAGATATTCAATTTGACTACAGGGGGACTTTAATGTTTACAGCATTAGTTGAGAGATTTTTCCTTTTTCCCTACTGTAGCTACCTGATATTTATTCAAATGAATCGATATTGAATCAAGATTGGAATCAAAACACAAGCTTATTAATTTAAATCGTGAAATTTGTGTCAAGCAATAATAAAAACAGTAGCCAGTTAGTGTACAATGTAAACATTGTGACATGTTGTCTCCAAACTTAATGAAATTCTGTTAAGTTACCAAATAACCAACAAATAGCAGGCGTCACTACTGGAGTACTAAGGGGAGTAAAGCTATCTTTACATCCACCTTGAATGAAAAGTTTGTGATATCACATAAAAACTGTGTGATGGAAAAAGCAAGATGCACATAATATTTAAAAAATGAGGGTTTTTTTTTTTACCCGATAAGAAGACATACTGTAAACTACAATATATTTGCCAAATTACTCATTATTGATGCGCAAAAAAAAAAAACTTGGTTACACTTTACAATAAGGGTGCACTAATAAGCATTAATTCATGCTTAACTAATGCACAGATAATACTGAATTTATGTGTAAGTAATGATTATCTAAGCTATTCATTAATGATTACCACATTAGGAACTAATTAAGAGTCTGTAAGGTTAATGTATTAGTTCATACATGAATTGTTTTTAATTAAATATGTAATTGTGGATTAATTCCATAATAACTCATTTTTAACTAACTAATTAATATGTTATTTACCAGAATGAGCAAAAGCCTTGTATTTCAACTTCCAGATAATATGACAGATAATATGTAACAATTAATATTACTTAATTGTTAGTGCAAATTCATGTGCAAATTACTACAATTACTAAATGACTAGTTAACAATGATGTGCCCCATCAAGTAAAGTCATAACATAATGATGCCTTTGCAAATCATTAGCTAATGATTAATTAAAGCAGACAACTGGAAGTTGAAGTGCATAGCTTTGACTAATTGTGGTAATTAACATATTAATTTACACTATTAGTTAATAAAATATGTTATTAAGGAATTAATACACAATGACACATTGAATTAATAGCAATTCTTGTATTACTTAATCTATTAATCATATAGGCTCTTTATTAGTTGCTGATGCTTTAATTAATGGTTTAGTTCTTCATTAGTTATACATTAACTCATGATTATCTGTGTATTAGTTAAGCATGAATTAATGCATATTAGTGAACCCGTATTGTAAAGTGTTACCAAAAAGGTTTCCTCAACAGAGGATGTGATTGGATAACTGGACTAACCAGGGGACCAGTTTTATTGCACAGCATATCAAATGTTGGTTTTGTCACTCTGAAATGTCTGAGCCAAAGCTTGTCATCAAAGTGGCTGCGTATAATTACCTGCCAGTCCCAGAAGCGTCTCACACGATTGCATTCCCAAACACCAGGTATCCGCCTCAGAACGCAAGATAACATGATAGTGTTTGTTGGGTTTCGTCTGCAGATATGACATGGGGAAAGACATTTCAAGTGTAATGCCAGGGTTTCCTTACCCTTGTCTAATTGACAGGTTTGATTTTTTCCTATCTCTCGCTTTTAATTAAATCAAATACACCTTTGAACAATAACCACTAATGTGTATTATGTAATATTATTTCTTATATGACAATTTTAGGACTGTTTATGTTCTTCAAACACTTTTGCGTTGAGTCATCATGGATTTTATACAATGCAAAAAAAAAATTGCTATCACAGAATTAGGCAGAAAACATATTTTATAGTTTCGACTGTAATAAAGGCTGTGTTCAGTTTCATCAAGTGGACGAGGGAGTTTATTTGGACAGACCCTCGACCCCTCGATTTTGACTGAGGGAGTGAGTCTACTCAATGGCTGTGTCCGAAATCTCCCACTACTCACTATATAGTGGACTATATAGTGAGCTCGCCATTTTGTAGTGCTATCGGAATGTATAGTGATGATTATTATGCCCTATATAGTCCACTGTATGTATCCCAGAATGCATTTTGAAAAGTAGTGTACAACCGATGGTCACAAACCAAGCCCTACATACCATCATGCATTGCGCTGATCGAAAAAATGCCGGACGGACGATCCCAAGACGTCATATAACTGACGTCTTGGGACGTCTTTTGACCATTCGTCAACATCCGCCTTTTTAGGGTACCCTAAAACGTCGGTTAGATGACGATCCCGGGCCGTCATACAACTGACGCTTTACCTTTAACGTCGGTTAGGTGACGGGGTCAGTTTAGGGGTAGGTTTAGGTCTGGGGTAGGGTTAGGATCCGATAAAGTAATCTAACCGACGTTTAAGGTTACCCTAAAAAGGCGAATATTGACGTATGGTCAAAAGATGTCCCAAGACGTCAGTTATATGACATCTTGGGATGAGACTGTGTTAGGGGAGCAGTGCGACAATACAAATTTGTCATACAAATATAAGTTATATTCTGTCTTATTTAACTTATAATATGTAGTAGTTTTACTATTTTGTCAGACATGTATAAATTGTTTGTAAGCACGCATGCGTTTAAATAGTGCGACAGCAATGACGTAATCAACGGCGCCCAGAGATGATCGAGTAGTGTCCGAAAGTGGTGTTTCTATTATGCTATATAGTGCTCCACTCCCTACCCCCTACATAGGAAGTGGTTTGAGTGAAGATTTCGGACACAGCCACTATGTACACTTCAGGCAGATCCTTAGACCACAATGCAACATGATTGCGATGTCACTGTCAGGGTTACGTTCTTATCTTAGTTTTCATGATGTTCAGATGCTGTTTTTTTTACCCAGTTTTTTTGTTTTTATTCATCCTATTCACCTTTTCCTCATTAATTAACTCTTTAGCTCTTTTATTTGCCCTGTGTATTTAAGCCCTCAGTTTCTGTTTCATGTCAAAGTGTATGTGGTTGTGTTCCCTCTGAGTTATTCTTCTAGTTAATATTTTGATTCATGGATTAAAGAACTATTTTGCATATATCCTTCGTCGGTCGCTTCATTACAGCCATCCACCGTGACAGGATCCGGGACCTACAAAGACTCAGTGCATAGATCTGTCTGACAGAAGAAGACAGGCTGAGGACAATCTTCTGTACACCATCTGTCAAACGGTCGACCTCTAGAGCGTTATGTGGAGGAGTTTTTGGAGTATTCCCATCTGGTGATAATGAGCGATTCTACGCTCAATGCCTGCGTTTGGATGGGACTAAATGATGATTTATTTGAAATTCTTTCTCCCGGTGAATGTCAAATACCCTTAGTTCAGTGGTTCTCAAACCTTTCCTGGAGTACCACCAGCCTTGCACATTATAGAGGGAATGCATTGACGTCACTTTCCCGCCGGAACAACCCCCCTCAGCCTGACTGAGTGGCAAAAGATCTGCTGCGTGACTGGACCTAATAGGGGAAACTGCGAAAATACGACTAAAAAGAACAATTTTATTAATTTCAACTAAATGTTGGACCCCATTATAGTGTTCCTTACAACTTACTAAATTCCATAGTGCACTCCAGTGGGAGAAATAAGCAAGTCCGTTCCAGTGAGGGAAATTCCCGAGTCCAGAAAGTGAAGTCCATGAGCCTGCTTCTCGACAGGGAAGTTCCAGAGCGTTGCCCAGAAAGCGTTGCACTGTCCATAATGGCTCAGTCATTATGTGTCTGGGCCACACACATCCACTCCAGCTCCTGAGCCCCTCTGTAGTACGTATGGATTACAGTCATACTATATAGAAGATACTTTTTTTCAGCCGATTCTCACCCCCAAGGCGTCACTTAACTGACGCCTTGGGAAGCATTTGGACATGCTTCAATATCTGACGCTTTAGGCGCCCTTTAGCGTCAGTTAGATGACGCCCTAGGATTATGTTATCCATCTCAGTTTATTTGTATCATTTCTATGTCATGTTTATTTGTACTTTATTGTAAAGCGCCCTTGAGTTTTCTGAAAGGCAAACATTATTATTATTATTACTTCTACACATCCGTTTTGAAGATTCTGGGAGAGAGCGCCCTATGGCTTCCACTATGAATGAAACATACTTTACAAGAGAGTTATGAAATTAAAGCGCTCTGTGTTCACATCGCTTCAGTTTGGAAAATAAACATCAGGTCATGCATAGACTATCTCGTCTCTTTGATTTTGAATCTAGATTTATTCACATTAGCCCTCGAAAAACCTCTACGTGAACACACTTGCCTGAAGAAATGTACAGTGGACGAATTTATGTTTTATTGAAAGTGCTGGGGGCATGTCGTAAGCTAGCAATTTTTTTGCTGTCATAATCTTTAATCAAAATGCCAAAAACGTACCCCTGTGATATGACTCACTTTACCGTCTATGAAAAGCCATAACATACTTTCTTCTGTTGATCACAAAAATTGATCACAATTTTTTTTAACCATATGTTTGAAGTCAGTGAGTTCCAATATTTTTAGGTTGCCAACATTGAACAATCTCTCTTTTTTTGAACATTTTTTTTCATCTCTTCTGGGAATGAATGGTGTGAACCTTTCAGCCCTGTTTCCACCTAGTGTTAAGATGCATTTTCAGTCCTCCGATCACAAGTGGTCAGCCGAGACGTACTGCTTCCACCTATTAAAATGCATGTCTTCTGTGAGCACTTCTGATTGAATTTCTTTGTGAGTCCCCTCTTATTTTGTCACTCTACAACACTTTCTAGGCAGCAAGGATTTATTGTACAAACACTATTGACTGAACAAACCCATGTTACGTGGATTACGTGTGATCAGAAAAGAAGCAACTGAAAAGGATAAAGAAAGCAGCTGCAATTTCGTAATCCATGTGTTTTGCTACAATCCAGCAAAGTTTAAACTGCATTTTTGTTGCGCTTTCTTTCAGCACGTCCCACAATGATTATGTATTAGGTCAGTAGGCAAAGCGTAGGTGGCCTTTTGTTAACTACACTACAAAAGCAGTTCGGTTGAATGTGTTTTCAAATAGCTAAAAGTGGACAAGCTTAAAATGTTTTACACCTGAATTTAGCGACGTCAACTTGCTATCATAAATGAGAATGCATCAGGGCCTTTGTTTTCATTTGCATTGGTGAATCACTTCATATTTCCATTTAACTTTGCAAACTCTAGCAGCTCAACATTTTCACTCGCATTGAAGCCCCTCCACACTGCCAGTGACTGTTTTACATACATGACTGTGTTACATAGTGATGTAATGGTTGGTCCTTAGTCCATTTTCCTAATTCTGGGTTGTTTTAACCCAATTTTTGATTAAAATATGGACAACCCAGCATTTGTAGTAATAGTTACTGTGGCTAAGTTGTCGTTCCACATGGCCATGTCTTATCTAAGAGTGCAAACACTGGACTGTATGGTTCCACACACATACACACATTTTTAATTGTTACTGGTGTTTGAAGTTAATGTTAATTGAGTTTAAATGCAAGTAATAAGGTACTCAAGGAAAGTGGTGTATCGCCAGACAGCAAACTGACATTGAATCAACGAGGAAACGACGTCTCTCATGACATCGAAACAACGTTGATCTGGCATTGTTTTGCTCATCGAATTAACGTTGAACCAACGTCAGACGCGTCATTCTTCAAAACTAACGGAAAATCAACTTGAAATCAACGTTGTTTCAACGTTAGGAAAGCAAACCATTTGCGTCGATTTTCATTTAGCTTTGAAAAATGCCACATCTGACGTTGGTTTAACGTTAATTCGATGAGCAAAACAATGCCAGATCAACGTTGTTTCGATGTCATGTTTCCACGTTGATTCAATGTCAGTTTGCTATCTGGATAAGTAACGGCTGCATTAGCACAGTTAGCACAATGGATAAGCACGTCTTTGAATGAAGCTGAAAACTTTAAATGGATTTATTTACGTGTTTTTCATTAGCTTTGAAAAGTATAATAGTATAGGCCTTATACAAAAGTAGTTTCTTGAAAAATATTATTTAAAATGAGGAAGTAAACCATCCGCTGGTTTCTAATTTACTTTTCACTTTATTTTATTTATTTTCAACCGTAAACTATATTAAATTAATCAAATCCAACTTAAATCTTTAGAGCTAAAATAACAAATTGGTTATTCATAACTTATTCAGTTTAAGTTCTGAGTTAAGTTCCGAGTTTTTTGAGTTAATATCACATTTTTATTGAGTGAAATGAACTTTTTTTTAAAAATAAGTTACAACAACTCATATCGTTTAGTGACTTTCAGTGTTAGGTTTTACAGTGTGAAGGGCGTTGTTAGCCCTTTAGCTGTTATTATTCACCATACAGCACTTGCCTTGAGTATATTACTTTTATAAAACGGTTACCACACAATATTAAAGCAAAAAACATTGTATTAGTGCAACTTTCTTGAAGTAAAATCACTAAAAGCCTTCCTTCCGCTACAAAAAAATAGTCCCTGACCGTGAACAGCAACAACGTTCCAATGTGTAATATGCATGAAACCTCAATTAAAAACAACAAAAGAAAGAACTGCAGTGTTGCGCAGTGATACATAGAACCGTTGGGTGAAGCGGTCATGAATAAACCACAGCTCTTGACCAATCAAAATCAAGGATTGGAACTAACCCGTTTCATAATAAGTAATATTCAAAACCTTTATAAAGTACAACCTACTGAATCCCAATAGATAAAGTCAAGGACGAAAGTATACATGTGCAAGTGCGACAATAATAGTCTATGAAAAAAGCAAACATTTTTATATGCAGTATACGTCAACAAACTGCCCAGAGTTCAGATGTAATTACCCAGTCTTTTTTCATCATATAAAAACATCTTATTACCGGTATTAATCTTTACTCTCTTTTCATTTGCATTTAGGTCAACAACGTGCTTCTTCCCTGAGAGTGAGGAGAAAAGCACTGGTTACCGATTCAGTAACCATGGAGCCAAAACTAGACTTACAAAACCCTCCAATCAGCCATAGCAAGAGTGAAGAGTAAGAACCCTCCTGAAATTGTAACACATACTCATGTCTCCTAGTGCCACATTTCCCCAGTGTAACTCTCTGTCTATCTATCTTTATTTATTTCAGGTCAAAGAGGCTGATAGAATCAGCTTTAGCAGAAAATGAATGCATGAAATATTTAGATAGGGATCAGATGCTGTGTTTGGTGGATTCTGCCTATCCCATCACGCTCAAACAGGGTGTGTGTTTTGTCAAGGAAGGGGATAATGGAACCCAGGCTTACATTGTTGAAGGTGAGGAAGAGTGCAAGGATGAAAGAGTTGTTCTCACCTCATAATCCCTCTCAGAAAGGTACATGTTTTCTTTGGACACATACTGCATGTCGATTTGTTCACAGATCCTATATTATAACCTAGTGCTCAAAAGTCACTGAATATTAGCTGAGGTCTAGTCATGCCTCCAGGCATGTTCTGAATTATTTATTTCTTTATGGATTGCAGTGAGATGTTATGGTACTGTTCATCTTTTTCTTTAAGCTCCTAGTTACCCTCCAGCTATCTTACCACAGCGACTTTACAAATATAATAATCATTCGGACACAGCCTGACTATTAATTAACCTCCTGAGACCCTGCGTGCACATACGGGGACATCACATTTTTGGTTCTGTGCAGCATAATACTTAATTCTGTGTGACTGGAACATGTTTTTCACAAACGAGGACACTTACACTGCCATCTGGTGGCGTCAGAAGAGAAAAAAAATTAACATAAATAATTTAAAGATGGCAGAGAAAACAGGTCACATGTCACGCAGCCACTCCAGACCAAAACTTCCACAAGGTAAACAATCTAATAACATTTCATTGTTGATTCTTGTTAAGTTATGCATATTAGTGTTGTATGTTTGAAACGGCATGCACATTTGACAAACTTTTGTAAAAATAAAGATTTACCAAGCTGCTAAAGTTGATGTCCCCATATGTGGACATTGGGACTAAGCTTCGTTGAAACTTGCAAAAAAAAAATGAAAATTTGTAGTTGCATTGAGCTTCGTGGCAGGCTCACACACTCGAGCGCACACACACACACACACACTCAACGGGGCGGGGCTTCACTCACGATCGCGCATGCACACATACACACACTTGCTCACTCGCACACACACACACACACACGCGCGCGCACTCTCTCTCTCTCTCTCGCTCGCTCACTCACTCGCTATCGCTTACACACACATCACTCACTCGCGATCGCGCGCACACACACACACATACGCTCTCTCTTGCTCGATCTCCACCGTGGTGGAGCTCTGAAAATCAAAAAATCCCCTGGAAAAGATGGGCTGATTTTTAGAATTGCGCATCCAATGGTGCACCTCTCCTGGGCACGAATAAAGCCCATGGAGGGTTCAGGGGCAACAGTTACACAGTCTTTCACACCGGCTAAGTGTGATCCACTGTTCCCACAGATAAAAAGAACATTTCTAGTTTGGAGAAGCAGAAATTTTGGAGCATTGCAAAAAAGAATGTGGATATTATATATTATTATGGATATTATATTTCATTATTATATTTATTTTGTTTTTCCATATCAATTTTCAGAAGTTATGCATGCAAGAGTAACAATGAAAAATGTTCAGGCACAATGCTCATGCTGTAAAAAAAAAAATAGATTTGCACTTTTTTACACAATGGTGTATTGATTGTTTTCTGTGCATACAGACAATTTTTTGTTTTTAGTTTTTTCAAAAAGTGCTTCATGTTCAAATATAATATCTGGTTATATTTCTTGCTCCCTCCTAACCCCAAAAAGCTAAGAAATCTAAAAGCACACCAAACCAAAACTCAGGTCTCAAGTAGTTAAGATAGACCCACTGTCCTTGCATGAGGACATCATTTTATGCAAAAACTACTTCCTGTACAAAAACAAATTTTAGTTATTATACTTATTAGGTCCTACTTGTCCCAAATAGCAAGAAAAATTATAAAATGCACACCAGGCAAACTCTCGGGTCTCAGGAGGTTAAGGGGGTCAATCATGTCTAGGACAACTTGAGGTATCCGAACAGTGCTTTCTCAGTTAATGGCCAGCAATATTGTGATGTTAAAGGACATTATGAAATTAATATAATGCGGCGCTGCGCTTCTCGTCCCCTTTAATTAAAAGTTAAATGTTTCGGTAACACTTTACAATAAGCTTCATTTATTAAACATTAGTTAATGTATTAATTAACATGAACTAACCATGAGTAATACATTTGTTACTGTCTTTGTTACATACGTAACCCAGACATTATTTGACATGTAGTTACAAAAATACAGAATATTCTGCAACAATTGGTATTTATTTGCATGATCATTTAAAGGGTTAGTTCACCCAAAAATGAAAATTAAGTCATTAATTACTCACCCCCATGCTGTACCAACCCCGTAAGACCTTCGTTCGTTTTCGGAACACAAATGAAGATATTTTTGATTAAATTTGAGAGCTGGATCACTGCTACATATTGGCTGCCTAAGGTATCGAAACTTGACGGCCCAGAAAGTCATTGAAGAAAATGTTTAATCCCATGTGAAAATAGTGGCTCAACTATAAGTATATCAAGCGACAATACTTTTTGTGCGGAAATAAAGCAAAAATAACGACTTTATTTTTGACTATTCCTTTTTTCCTTGTAGGCCTGAGACGAGAGTTCAGGAGATTTCCACGACGCACGCGCGAGAACTGAACTGAAGTAGTAGAAAAATAACGTAGTTCTCGGCACGCATCGTGGAAATATCTTAAACTCTCATGTCAAGCCCAGAAGGAAGAAATGGAATAGTCGAATAAAGTCGTTATTTTGGGGTTTTTTTCGCATAAAAAGTATTCTCGTCGCTTGATAAACTTATACTTGAGCCAATGTAGTCATCCTCTTTTTGCTGGGCATCCTCCTCAATCCTCTTTTTCCCGGACATGTCCGGCCGTGAATGTCTAGGATTCAGCTTTTGCTTTCTGCTGTCGCCATTCATTGTTTACATGCACAACTTTTGTTTCAGTCTAACTGAATTCATTCTGATTGGTGAATCTTGTACTGTTTACATGAACGCTAAACAAGTGATCGGTTGATGTGTGTTTTAACATTGCTAAGAAAATCCCCGCTAATCTGTGAGTGATACGAGACCGGTGCGTCTCACAGGTGTTGCTCATCGGTAATCACGCCACCGGCCTCGCGCCGTTCTCCCGCGGCCCTCACTCGTCCCGCTCGCCACAGTAAACATGATGAACGGCGACTGTAGAACGCAAAAGCCGAATCCCGGACATTTTGGGACACCTCGAAACACATTTTCGGGCAGACTCATCACGGAGACTCACTAGTAGCCTAGACTTGTTGTTTAACTACTGCGCTCTGTTACCGGTAGGCGTGGCCTCATAGGGCAGCGAAGCAAGTGCATTCTGGGAGTTGTTGTCTTTCATCCACAGAGGCCAAAAATACACTTTCTGGCTTTTCTCATTCAAAAAATAATAATTTCACATTTCTTTTACATAAATGACCCATTTTAAATACACATTCATCTTTCCAGAGGTGGAATGAGCTTTTAATTCTAAAGGTTGAAGAGAAGGTGCAAAACGGTCATAAAAATAAATGATGTCATTGGTGTAAGACACCTTGACTAACATTTCAAGTGGACTTCAGGCAATCATTCTGTTCCTTTCTCTGACTGAGGCACAATAATTAGTATGCACCTCCCATAGCATTTGCAGGACCAGGCAGGTAGCAAGAGAAGTGTGAGACTGACCTGCTTCTGGGAAGATAGAGCGAGAGAAACCATTCCTGCTGGTAATGTGAGGTGGAATGAGTTTTAAAATCTCAGTGTGTGTCTAAATACCCAGGTTGCAAGTGAAAAAAATAAGGATGCAGAACAGAAGAAGAAATCTATCACCATCCATTAAAGTGTTCATCAATACCTGTCCATGAGCTGTGTAAATCTCCATCCGTGATTTGTTTAGAAGGAGACAGGATTTGTCCTGATGTGCCGGATTGTTTTGGCTCTGGGCTTCTCCGTGCCAAATCTGTGATGGGCCAGATTCAGATCATCTGTCTATGTGACAGGCATACTGTCACTCAACTCATGTTACTCCTGGCAGCCTTGATGTGTGTGTGTGTGTGTGTGTGTGTTTGTTAACAGAGGGAAAACTGGAGGTATCCAGGGCTGGCCAGAGGCTGCACATCATTGAGCCGGGAATGATGTTTGAAGAACTGGGCCTCATTCATAACCACACCTGCTCTACTACTGTCACAGGTACTGACACGTGCGCGCGCACACACATACACACTCTCTCATGGTAATTAACATATCTGTGCATTCACTCACTCACTCTCACACACACACACACAGAGCTCAGAGGGCTTAATGGAGTCATTTGTCAATAAATGAGGCATACAGTTGACATACAGTAGGAGACATACATAAATGAGGCATACAGTTGACATACAGTAGGAGTAAAGAGATATAAAATGACTGTGGAAAGTATAGATCATATAATTTGGTTTTGGAAGAATTTGATGACAGTTTTTAGTTCATACTGAGAAATAGACTTTGGGGGGTTGTTCATCTGTTTGAGATCTCTTCTGAAACTCTTTAAAGTCACCATAAAAATAAAATGGATAATTCTTGCTGGGGTTTTAAAAAAAAAAAAAAAAATTATTAATGGAATATTAGGTAACGCTTTAGATTACTGCCCGGATAGTACTGTGTAATTAAGAGGGATTTACACTATAACTTTCTGTAATTATCCACAAGTTTCCGAGGGGCGCTCCTGTAAAAAATAAAGTGGGTGAAACTTCCGGTGACGCGGCGGAAGTAGCATTCCAATGGTATTTTGTGTGTTAGTTAGCGAAGAGGCTAGCTGTTTTTCGGAGAATTATTTTACTATTTAAAGACGCAAATCTTTATGAGAGATGTCGTTACGGAGCTCAGGGACAACATGTGCTGTTCGCGGTTGTATGTATAACGGACTAAACTAATTTAGTGGCTTAAACGGGATTGTTTTGAACATAAGCTGAAAACGAAATCAGAGTGATCCTGCCAACGACTGTAGTTTCCATCACCTCCCAAAAGACGACGAATCTTCCTGTGTACATTTGTTTAAATTCTTAATATTCTATAAACTCTATCAGCATGTGTTTGGCTGTTCTCTACTGATGTTACACCTAAACTCAGGATCAAAGCCTGTGTTGACAGAATACCAAATGTGCCAGTTAATGTATTCAAGTAGCACATTCATTTATAATTTTGAATAAACTCCAAAGCACAATGACTAAGTGTAATTTTTTATTTTAATTGTTTGTCAGCTCGCACATCTGTCTGTCACCATGCCTTGTCTTGATGAGTATTGATTATTAATGTTATTATAATACTCCCTATCAACTACTGCGGAGGGTAAAGGTACTGTTATTTCACCCTTTTGAATTTCGTTGAGGTTGTGTTCCCACATCGTTAGCTAGTTTGGATCGCTATAACTTGAATGACTGTCAACTGTTGAATGAACGAGTGTTAAGCATGTCAAATCGCGCTTTGTTTACTTCCAACCTGAAGTCGCGCCCACTTTTGACGCAAGGCCTCATGGGGCGTAGGAAACTTGTGGATAGTGTGCCCATAAACTACTCACATGTTGTTATGAACTGCTCCGAGACGTGGAGATGAAGATCCAAATGCGGCTTTATTTTAGAATAGTCGTACAGGCAGGGTCAAGAATCAGCAGACAGGACAATGGAGAATAAACAGTGGGAGTCCAAGAAACAGGAAGCGGTCAGGGCAGGCAGCAATAATCAGAGTCCAAGAACAATCCAAAGTCAAAAACAGAAAAACAAACATGGGAAACAGTACAACATAGTACAACAAGACTTCGTAATGAGTGAATGAGAACGCAAGGTATATATAGTGTGAACTGAACAAGACAATGAGAACCAGGTGAATGAGATGAGTGCTGAAGAGTCCGGGCAGTGAGTTCTGGGAAATGTAGTTGTGAGTGAAACATGAACATCTGGTGTGGAGTGCCCTCTGGTGACTCTCAGGGGCACTCCACCTGGTGGCCATCTTGTCTTAACTTCCTTATAGATTTCCACGACGCATGCGCGAGAATTGCGATCTAAGCAGATCGCAAATCTCGCGCATGCGTCGTGGAAATCTAAGGAATTCTCGTTCTGGCCTACAAGGAAGAAAAGAAATAGTCGAATAAACTCGTTATTTTTGTTTGTTTTTTCGCACAAAAAGTATTCTCGTCGCTTGATAAACATATAGTTGAGCCACGGTAGTCACTTGGGATATTTAAACATTTTCTTCATTGACTTTCTGGGCCGTCAAGAGGCAGTCCCTTAGGAGCCAATGTGGTAGTTATACAGCTCTCAAATTTAATCAAAAATATCTTCATTTGTGTTCCGAAGACGAACGAAGGTCTTACGGGGTTTGTACAGCATGGGGGTGAGTAATTAATGACTTAATTTTCATTTTTGGGTGAACTAACCCTTTAAAAAGCCTATACAGTATGTACTGGTTCACCATTATTTCTAAAAGGTATGTTCTTGCTAAATTGCCACCAAATGTAAGATTGTTATGTCATAAAAGTAGAATAAGTACCCCTTAGTTCTATAATGCTTACAGTATAAATATTTGTATGTTACTCCTTTATTCCCCAAACTTAAAATATTGTTCCCTTATACTTATATTGTACGTACGTTATAGGTACACTATAATTACCAGGTTACGCTGTAAAATCATTTTAATTACGCAGTACTTTCTGGGCTGTAATCTAAAGCGTAAACGAATATTGCAGTATTTATTTAAATGGTTTATCCATGCACATCATTATTATTATTTCTTTTAATATGTGCCGTTTTAATCTTTAACCAAAATAACTTCTCCCTCCTCCCTCTTGCAATGACTTCTCTTCTCTTTTAATTGGCGTGAGGGCGGGGAAACCTGCACTCATATGAGATCCACCATCCAATCAATTCCCCATGAACAAATTCAAGTCCTATTGTTCTTGTTCTAAAAGCTGTTTCAAACAGATCTACGGCACAATAGGGCAGAAAAGATGATCGCAACTTCTGTTTCATGTCAACTTTTAATTATTCAGTATATGAGATTACTGGGGTCTTGGTCTTATTTTTCAGGAAAAAGATCTGAGAAGCAGACTTGGAAAAAAGACTTTTTTCCATATTTTTGCCTTGGGGAAGCAGCTGAGATAGTACAGATCTCATTTGAAAATTATCATATATATCATATATCATATATATATATATATATATTATATTTTAAAATTAAGTTGTTCACATAATGAGTGTAGTAGTACTACATATGTCATTTTCCCCCAGTTTAATGCTCGGGTAATTAGAGTATTCCCATCATCTGTCATCTGAAGCTGTGCTGAGAGATCAGTGGAATATGACATCAAAGGAAAAATCATATAAATTCTCAACACACCACACTAGAGTCCACCAAACAAACTATATTCAATTGACAGATCTACAAAACCTGATTTTTATGTTGATCCTTCAAGTCGTATTACAGTTGGTTTTGGTTTACCACTTAATTTTAATACAAAATAGAGGTGTATCGTATGAATCCTGTTTGCACCTCAGAATAAAATGTAAAAAAAAAAAAAAGGTCATTGTAAGAAAAAAAGTCATATTGTGAAGCACAAAGGCACTGTTACTAGAAATAAAGTCATGAATGTTATAAAGTCACGTTGTGAAACACAAAGTCTCACAATTTATTTATTTTTTCCACATGTAAATACATTGATTGCATGTTACAGTTTTGAGGGTTCTTTAGAGAAAATAAGTCTTTCTCCAACCCTGAAGATATCTTTGTCAGGTATCTGAATGAATGTTCATTCTTCGAGGTGTATCCCCCACAGCATGCTTTGATTTATGACTCTCTCAACACCTCTTCTCTCTCTTATTTCACATAGTCTCTTGAGCCCATTCTGAGCCACAGGGACATCAGCTAGACCTATTAATTTTAATATAGCATAAAAAACAAGAAATAAGGTCTGAAGGAAAGAGAATGAGCAAAAAAGATGGATTGAAAGTGAATGGAGGATCCAATCAAGTCAGATCATTTTTTACCAGATCTTTCTTTTCTTGAATGTCAGACTTGATTGTGTGCAATTTTCATCTTTCAGTTGATGTCCTTTTCCAATTCGGCGTTTCTCTTTTAACTACCCACTCTCAGTCTCTCTTTCTGAATTTTCAGGCTTTTTCTACCCTTACACCCTATTTATTTCAAGACTCGAGTCTCGAGTCTCAAGACTCTGTTCTTTCCTCAACCCTTTTTTCTCCAGCTTTGTTCAGGTCTTGTGTTTGGTGACAGCCTGAAATTGCTTTCTTTTTACTTTTTCTCTTCTTTTTTTCTTCTTTTTGTTTTCTGATCTTTGCTGTCTTGCCGAATCTCTTCTATAGGTCTAAGTAAAAGATAAACACAGTTTTCTAATTCCAGGAAGCTTGTTTCCGCCACAGAATAAAACAATTTAAAAGATAATTGCGACTTTTTATCTCACAATTCTGACTTAATGTGTGATATAAACTGGTCAATTGCGAGATGTAAACCCGCAATTTCAAGAAATAAAAGTCAGAATTGTGAGAAATAAAGTCAGAATTGTGAGAAATAAAGTCAGAATTTCAAGAAATAAAGTCAGAACTGCGAGAAAAAAAGTCAGAATTGTGAGAAACAAAGTCAGAATTAAGAGAAATAAAGTCAGAATTGCGAGAAACAAAGTCATAATTTAAGACATAAAGTCAGAATTGCGAGAAATAAAGTCAGAAGAACTTCAAAAAATAAAGTCAGAATTTCAAGAAATGGAGTCAGAATTGCAAGAAATAAAGTCAGAATTGTGAGAAACAAAGTCAGAATTGTGAGAAAAAGTCAGAATTGTGAGAAACAAAGTCAGAAGAATTGCGAGAAACAAAGTCAGAATTGTGAGAAATAAAGTCAGAATTTCAAGAAATAAAGTCAGAATTGCGAGAAAGTCAAAAAAATTTCGAGAAATAAAGTCAGAATTTCGAGAAATAAAGTCAGAATTGCGAGAAATAAAGTCAGAATTGTGAGAAACAAAGTCAGAATTGCAAGAAATTAAGTCAGAATTGCTAGAAACAAAATAAGAATTTTAAGAAATAAAGTCAGAATTGCGAGAAATAAAGTCAGAATTGCGAGAAACAAAATAAGAATTTCAAGAAATAAAGTCAGAATTGCGAGAAATAAAGTCAGAATTGCGAGAAACGAAATAAGAATTTCAAGAAATAAAATCAGAATTGCGAGAAACAAAATAAGAATTTCAAGAAGTAAAGTCAGAACTGCGAGAAATAACGTCAGAATTGTGAGTTATGTCCAATTCTTAAGGGGAAAAGACTGAAAAATAAAAAAAGGTAACTGCGACTTTTTATTTCACATTTCTGACTTTTTTTTCTCAAAATAGTGACTTTATATCACACAATGCTGACTTTATAACCCACAATTGTGATTTTAAATCACGCAATTCTAACTTTATAAATCACAATTGCAACTTCATTTCATGCAATTCTGAGAGAAAAAAAAGTCAGAATTGTGAGATAAAGTCACAATTACCATTTTTTATTTTTTATTATGTGGCGGAAACAAGTTTCCACAGTTTCACAAAGCCAACTATGGTCGCAAGTTCTGTCGATACCAATAATTCAATGGATTACCAAGAGTTCAGTGGAATTTGCAACCATAGTTGGCTAACAAAGCTTTTGGGAAACGCACTCAAGGCTGAATTGAATAAAAATGTTTGGAACAAGAAGTCATGAACCAATGTTTAGCAGCAGTTTATTAACCAAACACATAAACCAACATAATCCAAAGAAGAATAATTATGAAAATAGTCCAAACAGGGAGCAATAAGCGCAACATCTTTACAAACATGTGCAAAGACAACAACCATCAAAAGACACCTGAAACACCAACCCGATCTCACGGGAATTCGTATGAATTTTACGAGGTGGCTAATTCGTAACAATTCGTACGACCTCACTCGTACGAATTAGTACGATTTTGCTAAATCGTACATATTTTACGAATTAGCCAATTTGTATGAATTCGTACGAATGACCTACCCCTGACCCCGCTTCTAAACATAACTAACACAGTCTCATCCCAAAAAGTCATATAACTGACGTTTTGGGACGTATTTTGACCATACGTCAATATCCGCCTTTTTAGGGCCCCCTTAAACGTCGGTAGATGGCGATCCCGGGCCGTCATACAACTGACGCTTTACCTTTAACGTCAGTTAGGTGACGGGTTAGGTTTAGGGTTAGGTTTAGGTATGGGGTAGAGTTAGGATCCCATAACCTCATCTACCGACGTTTAAGGGGGCCCTAAAAAGGCGAATATTGACGTATGGTCAAAAGACGTCCCAAAACGTCAGTTATATGACGTCTTGGGATGAGACCGGGTTGACATAACCGTCACGTGGGTTTAGACAAATCGTACAAATTCGTCCGAGTGAGGTCGTATGAATTAGTACGAATTAGCCACTTTTGAATCACTCATACGAATTCGTACGAATTGGTCGTGAGATAGGGTAGGAAACACAGGGTAGATATACAGGATAACAAGAGGCTAACAAGTAACAGGTGTGGGAAATGAATCACTATGGCGACTAACAAGGGTAACTATGGAAAAAACATTGCAGATGTGGAAACAAATTCTGAATTCAGATCTGCATACCAGTTGTACTCGTAGCAAGCAAAAGCCATAATTTGACCGTCTAGGTTAACTATAGACCTGATATAGTCCGGCTATGAGTAACCCACTATAACCTTGAATTTGGTTACATGTAATTTTGGACAAAATAACTTGTGAGATGTATGATAGTCCATCATGTAAGCAAATTCAACAGTTATTCAAAGGTGTTTAGTTTCATTTGACATGTTATCTAATCGATGATTAGTCTATTGTTGGGGTATGGTTAGACTTCTATACAATTTTCACTGACAGACCAAATTTTGCCTTGTTTTAGCCTAGACGTCAGGGCTGTGTTTGGATGTTGTTTTAAAAATGCAAAACTGTGGTTCCGAATTCATCAAAAGACAAACAGGAAATAAACACACATTAAAAGGAACAGAACATGCAGTTAAAAAAGTCCAATGTTAATAAAGTCCTAGAATACAAAGCACAGGGGGAACTGTGGCATTGAAATAAGACGGTATGGACAGAGTGAGTCATGCACTTGATAAAAGATGATACAATCTAGACAATTATAACTCTGCTGCTATTATTATATTTAATTGTAGTTAAATAGAAGTCAATCATAAACCTTCACAAAAGGTTTCTAGAATTTAAATGGATGGAATAATTGCATTTCAATGTCTCACAGTCATATGTGTGTTCATGATGTTTATTGCAGTTCAGTGCTGCATTTTTGGGTTCAATGATTTTTCTCAAATTCTCAGCTATTCCACAGAGATTTTGCAGAGAAAAGGACAGGGATAAAAGAGAAGTAGACAGAGTTACCAGGGGAGTTAATGAATCTGTGACATTACTAATTCAAGGGGGTCTCAGGAACAGGAAGTGATAGAGAATGAATTGGAGGTTAACTATTTTCAGCTGATCCCTCTCTTTTTTTTTAATTAACTTGGTAGAAGCAGGTCATAAGGTTCATTAAGAATTCACTCACACTTTATTAATAAACATTCTCACTTTTACATTTGTTAATGGTAAACTGGTAATAGTGTACACTGACCTAAAGGATTATTAGGAACACCATACTAATACTGTGTTTGACTCCCTTAATTCTATGTGGCATTGATTCAACAAGGTGCTGAAAGCGTTCTTTAGAAATGTTGGCCCATATTGATAGGATAACATCTTGCAGTTGATGGAGATTTGTGGGATGCACATCCAGGGCACGAAGCTCCCGTTCCACCACATCCCAAAGAAGCTCTATTGGGTTGAGATCTGGTGACTGTGGGGGCCATTTTAGTACAGTCAACTCATTGTCATGTTCAAGAAACCAATTTAAAATGATTCGAGCTTTGTGACATGGTGCATTATCCTGCTGGAAGTAGCCATCAGAGGATGGGGACATGGTGGCCATAAAGGGATGGACATGGTCAGAAACAATGCTCAGGTTGGCCGTGGCATTTAAACGATGGCCAATTGGCACTAAGGGGCCTAAAGTGTGCCAAGAAAACATCCCCCACACCATTACACCACCACCACCAGCCTGCACAGTGGTAACAAGGCATGATGGATCCATGTTCTCATTCTGTTTATGCCAAATTCTGACTCTACCATCTGAATGTCTCAACAGAAATCGAGACTCATCAGACCAGGCAACATTTTTCCAGTCTTCAACTGTCCAATTTTGGACTCTTTTTCCTATTTGTAGTGGAGATGAGTGGTACCCGGTGGGGTCTTCTGCTGTTGTAGCCCATCCGCCTCAAGGTTGTGCGTGTTGTGGCTTCACAAATGCTTTGCTGCATACCTCGGTTGTAACGAGTGGTTATTTCAGTCAAAGTTGCTCTTCTATCAGCTTGAATCAGTCGGCCCATTCACCTCTGACCTCTAGCATCAACAAGGCAGAGACTGATGTCTTGAGAGCATAGGGTGATATTTACCTAATCTTAAAAAACAGCAAAATGCGCAGAAAATTAATTACATTATTAACACTTAATTGTAGGTTAAAGGGTTAGTTCACCCAAAAATGAAAATTCTGTCAGTATTTACTCGCCCTCATGTTGTTCCAACCCCGTAAGACCTTCGTTCATCTTCGCAACACAAATTAAGATATTTAAGATATTAAGATCGCTCCTGTATACTAGTCCATAGGCTTCTTGAGGGAATGACACTTTCTGGCATCGAAAAGTCATCAAAGACATCGTTAAAATAGTCCAAGTGATTACAGAGGCTCAATCTTAAGTTTATCAAACGACGAGAATACTTTTTGTGCACAAAAAACATCAAAAATAACGACTTTATTTCAACTATTCGTTTATTTCTCTCTTTGCCTCGAGTCAGGTTACTAGTTTAATAGCGTAAGCTTCTGTTATTGTACGTCACACGCATCACACACATGACCAGCGTCGGCCAATAGTGAGCCTTTGTGTGACGTTTGTTTGTTTACTGTTTATTTGAATAGGGACAGATACAAAAAAACATAGATTATTACATGAAGAACAATCCGATGCCTGTATCATAGTGTTTATAGCCAAGGCTAATTCGCAACACCTGTCCCTAGAAGGGCTTTTAACAATCAAGAAAAACAACAATCAAGACGTAGCTCTACGCAATCACACTACGTTAACTGACTACAGGCCCATGGAGAAGGAAGTAAATATTTGAAATAAAGTCGTTATTTTTGTTGTTTATTGTGCACAAAAAGCGTTCTCGTCGTTTGATAAACTTAAGATTGAGCCTCTGTAGTCACTTGGACTATTTTAACGATGTCTTTAATGACTTTTCGATGCCAGCGAGAGTCATTCCCTGAAGAAGCCTATGGACTGTATGCAGGAGCGATCTTAATATCTTAAATATCTTAATTTGTGTTCCGAAGATGAACGAAGGTCTTACGGGGTTGGAACAACATGAGGGTGAGTAAATACTGACAGAATTTTCATTTTTGGGTGAACTAACCCTTTAATAACACTAATGTTATTCATGTAGTTCATATTGCACCGACAAATTAATATCAATTGACCAAATATCTGTCAATTATCATTCTGTTCATTATCATTCATGCTATTTGTGTGTGTGTCTGTCTCTGTCTCTCACAGGGGGCTTTGGACAATATCCGAGTGATTTTCACAATTTTCCTGGCAACTTCATATATTACCAATCCACACTGGTCTGGCTTTTCTGCAGGGATCTCGAACTTGTTTTCCGAATCCAGTTCGTACCATCCATATCAATTTGTCTTTGTCTGTCTTTACATGTCTATCCACCACAGGTGACCTGTCTCACTCTCTCCTTTGACCCCCGTCAGTCCACAGAATGCTTGCAATTCAGTGTGAATGTGTGTTTGTCTGTGCAGCTCTTGTGAACAGCAGGCTGTGGGTGATGGAGGGTCAAGTGTTTCAGAGGGTCATGCAGAGAAGAAGCCTGATCACCATCACTCAGTCTCTGCAATTCCTGCGCAGGTAAATGCCACCACATCATCATTTTTTATATAAATGTTTCAAAGATTTTACACTTTTGTCTTCTTGAATAGACTTTAAAGTCCCCGTCTAGTCAATAATTTAATTTTTGATCATCAAAATGACATATTTAAAAGTTTTTTCCTTGAAAAAATAAATAAAAATAGCTTGAATGTAACTTTACACCCTTGCCTCATTTAGTATACACGGTTCTATGAATATGCTAATGAGCCCCGCCTCCACTCACTTGCATCAGCTCAGAGATCCACTCGTTGACGATCACACGATTGATTACAAGATAGTGTGTGTCGTCAGAAACACCAGTGATTTCAAACTGTGTATTTGGTTCACTGCAGTTTTAAAGAGGAAATACTCAGCAATGGTGCCGACTTTGCACATGGTTTGTCTTAAAGCGTATTAAAAACACCACATAGACATAGAAACAACATTAAAAGCTTGATTTTTTATATTTTTTAGTTATTTGCATATTTATCCCACATTGTATATATATATATATATATATATATATATATATATATTGTAAATATATTTTATTTGAAAAAATGTACTGTCAAATTAAAGGAGTTCACTTAAAAAAAAAAACTTTTGCTGATAATTTACTCACCCCCATGTCATCCAAGATGTCCATGTCTTTCTTTTTTCATTCGAAAAGAAATTAAGGTTTTTGATGAAAACATTCCAGGATTTTTCTCCATATAATGGACTTCAATGGGAACCGGATGGTTCAAGGTGCAAATGAGAGTTCCAGTGCAGGTTCAAAGGCTTTAGACGACACCAGACGATGAATAAGGGTCTTATCTAGCGAAACAATCGCTCATTTAATAAATAAATAACAAAGTTTAAGTTTTATAAGCTCAAATTCCCGCCTTGCTCTGTTCTGTGATGCGCGTTCGTGACTCTCCAGTTCAAACTCGTCCATCAACATGAACAAATCTTTTTCCAAATCAATTCGTTCATTTTGTTCGTTGAATGAACCAAATGACACGAAAAAAGATTCGTTCATTTTGATAAATAAGTTCGAACTGGAGAGTCACAA